CACAAGTGCTTCAGTGACGAGAGGACCCTTGGAGCGGTCCAGAACTGGACGTGGCCATCCCTGGTCCTGCAACAGGAGGCAAAGGTGTGAGCACAGGGCAAAGAGGGACACAGGGAGACTCAGTTATCCCGATATATCCTCAGCCTGCTGCAGGCACAGCCATTCCCCAGCCCAGGAAAGCAGCCTGCAGCCCCAGGGAAGCTGGGAATGTGGTGAGCAGCCAGGTTTCCCTCTGCTCTCCCCTCACCCATACGTACCCTGTGGCAATGAAACCACCCTGTGGGAAGTACATGCAGCACAGGCCGTTGGTCATGGGAGCAAATGCAACTGGAGAGCGTAGCTCCAATGCCCAGATCCTCAGGAGCCTAAGGAGAAAAGGAGGGGAGAACATGTCATACCTCATCCACACAGCACTGAGGATCAGATAAAGCCTCTGGGTTCATGGAATGGTTTGGGTTGGAAGGGACCTTAAAGCTCCTCCAGCTCCAACCCCTGCCACAGGCAGGGACCCCTTCCACTGGAGCAGCTTGCTCCAAGCCCCTGTGTCCAACCTGGCCTTGAACACTGCAGGGATGGGGCAGCCACAGCTTCTCTGGGCACCCTGTGCCAGCGCCTCAGCACCCTCACAGGGAAGAGCTTCTGCCTAAGAGCTCAGCTCAGTCTCCCCTCGGGCAGGTTCAAGCCATTCCCCTTGGCCTGTCCCTACAGGCCCTTGTCCCAAGCCCCTCTCCAGCTTTCCTGCAGCCCCTTTAGGCACTGGAGCTGCTCTAAGGTCTCCCCTTCAGGAGCCTTCTCTTCTCCAGGCTGCCCCAGCCCAGCTCTCTCAGCCTGGCTCCAGAGCAGAGCTGCTCCAGCCCTCGCAGCATCCCCATGGCCTCCTCTGGCCTCGCTCCAACAGCTCCACGTCCCTCTTGTGCTGCTGCTCCAGAGCTGGATCAGGGCTGCAGGGGGGGTCTCCCCAGAGCACAGCAGAGGGGCAGGATCCCCTCCCTGAGCTGCTGCTCACGCTCTGGGGGTGCAGCCCAGCACAAGGAGGGGGGTCTGGGCTCAAGCACTCACTGAAGCCAGGTCATAGGGACCTTCCCATTGACCAACACCCCAAATCCTTCTCAGGGCTGCTCCATCCACTCTGCTCAGCCTACAGTTGTGTTTGGATAGCCCCAGTCTGGGTAACAGTGTCCCCTGCAGAGCTGAGCTGGATGCAGACAGCTAGTGATTGTGCTGAGGGGCACATGAAGGTGGCACAGGACACGGGCTCCAGCTCCTTGCTTAGAGGGGTGACACTGCCCCGACCTTGCCCCAGCCACGGTGTCCCAGGCATCCTGCCCTTTCCCCTTAACACCAAGCATTGGTGGGGACCTTCCATACAAGATCTGCCCCCCACTGACACATCCCGAGCTCCTGGTTCCTTTTGCTGGTGTCTTCCTGGGACCCTCTTCCCACTGGGGTCCCCAAGGAGGTCACTGACCTGTCATCTGCCACCGTGGCCAGGTAGAGGCCCTCAGGGGAGAAGCAGACGGAGCGCAGGGAGCTGGTGTGGACCTCGCTGCTGTCATCCAGCGCTGAGTGCAGGGGGACGTGGCTGTGGTGGGGAGAACAAGCCCAGCATCACCCCCAGGCTGCCACGAGCCCCATCCCCACTGCTCTGGGGCTGGCAGAGGGGCCAGAGCCCCCTTTCAGACTGGAAACAGTGGAGAGGTGGGGAGAAGGCCACGTTCAGCCCTTCCAAACCCCCTAAATGCCGCGTTCCCCTTCCCAGTGCCGTCCCCATCCCCGTACCGCAGTGTCCTCAGCTGCTCCCCGGTGTAGGGGTCCCACATGATGACACAGGCGTCATAGGAGGCGGTGACAAGGAGAGCAGAGTCTGGGGAGAAGTCACAGGACACCACGCTGCTCTGGTGCCCCTCCAGCCTCCGGATGAGCGCGTAGGAACGCATGCTCCACAGCAGCGCCTGCGGGAGCACAGCACAAGCATCTCAGGGTTTAAGAAGCACCAGCCCTGGTCCAAGCTCTTCCATGCAGAGCCTGGGTGGCTGAGGAGCAAGTGAGGATCTGGCCTGGCCCCAGGGGTGCTTCCTGCACTGGGGACGTGGAGGGCTGAGGGGAGTGCTGGATGCAGCGGGACATGGGATGGGGCTGTTCAGCCTGGAGATGAGAAACTGAGCAGAGAGCTCAGAGCAGCTGCCAGTGTCTGAAGGGGGCTACAAGGATGAAGAGAGGGACTCTTCATCAGGGACTGGAGTGATGGGACAAAGGGTGATGGGTTCAGACTGTAACAGGGGAAGTTCAGGTTGGAGATAAGGAAAAAGCTCTTCCCTGTGAGGGTGCTGAGGCGCTGGCACAGGGTGCCCAGAGAAGCTGTGGCTGCCCCATCCCTGGCAGTGCTCAAGGCCAGGTTGGACACAGGGGCTTGGAGCAAGCTGCTCCAGTGGAAGGGGTCCCTGCCCGTGGCAGGGGCTGGGGCTGGAGGAGCTTTAAGGCTCCTTCCAACCCAAACCATTCCCTGATTCCAGGATTCCACATCTGCATCCCTTGGGACTCACCGACTTCTCCCCGGCGGCGGAGCAGAGCATGCTGCAGTCTGGGGAGATGGAGCAGCAATAGACCCACTGCACGTGGCCCGACAGCACCTGGACCTGCCGCCCTGGGGACAGGAGACGTGGCAGTGACAACAGGGGAGCACCAGAGGCTCCTGCCCCTGCTCTCCCCCCCCTTTCCCAATAGGGAATACACATGGAGCTGGCGGTTCCCTGGGCAGATCCTGAGCTCTGCCTACTTGCAACCCCCTCCTGCACGTCCCAGGTCCCCTCTGGAAGGGGATGCTGTGGAACTGTCCCCTTCTGCCTTCACCCCTGTCACCAAAGATCCTTTCCCACCATCTCCCCTACTGAGGTGGGTTTCTCCCTCCCTATCCCCAAAGCCCAGCCTGAGCCGGGGGTGACCTATGCCAGGGACACCCCTGCTTGCTCCTACCATCTCTGCTGAGGTCCCACACGCGCAAGGTCTTGTCCCGCGAGGCTGACACAAGGATGAGGCTTCCATTGGGAGCGAAGCTCAGGTCTCTGACAACATCCTCGTGCCCCAAGAGGCTGAAGAGGAGGTGTCCTGCAGAGAGGAGCCGTGCTCAGCGCCATCCCTCCATGGGGGACAAGGCAGTGCCCCTCACACGCAGGCAGCCCCGCCTGGGACAGGGCAGGGGCTTCTGCTCAACACTGGGAAGCAGTCAGGGAAGGATGGAGATGGGATCTCCCTCCAAGGGGACAGACACGAAGCCAGGAGTGCCCCCACTGTTGGCAACGTCCCCTCACCTGTCTGCACCTCCCAGACCTTGATCTGCCCATCGTTGAGCCCGGTGGCCAGGATGAGGCAGGGGAGCCCCACGGTGCAGGCAGGGTCCGTGTCCCCCTCCTCTGCCGCTGGCCAGGCGCTGAAGGCCAAGCCCCACACGATCTGACCACACTCCAGTGTCTTCTCCTTGGGCACCGCTCGGCTCCTGGGCTCTGCCTTGCTGCTGCGGCTCTTGTGCTCCGGGGCTTTACAGCTGCTGGAGAAGGGAGGGAGGGAGGGAAGGATCACAGGGGGCAGGAGAAGGGAGAACGCGTTCAGGCTGAGAGGTGAAAGAGGCAGCAGCACAAGAGGGACGTGGAGCTGTTGGGGCGAGTGCAGAGGAGGCCATGGGGATGCTGCGAGGGCTGGAGCAGCTCTGCTCTGGAGCCAGGCTGAGAGAGCTGGGCTGGGGCAGCCTGGAGAAGAGAAGGCTCCTGAAGGGGAGACCTTAGAGCAGCTCCAGTGCCTAAAGGGGCTGCAGGAAACCTGGAGAGGGGCTTGGGACAAGGGCCTGTAGGGACAGGCCAAGGGGAATGGCTTGAACCTGCCCGAGGGGAGACTGAGCTGAGCTCTTAGGCAGAAGCTCTTCCCTGTGAGGGTGCTGAGGCGCTGGCACAGGGTGCCCAGAGAAGCTGTGGCTGCCCCATCCCTGGCAGTGTTCAAGGCCAGGTTGGACACAGGGGCTTGGAGCAAGCTGCTCCAGTGGAAGGGGTCCCTGCCCGTGGCAGGGGTTGGAGCTGGAGGAGCTTTAAGCTCCCTTCAACCTAACCCATGCTCCCGGTGATCCATGACCCTTTCCCGTGCCCCGCACTCACAGCTCGGGCTCCCGCAGCGGCCACGGGATCAGCTTCACCACGCAGTGCCCCTGCGACCACGCGAACCAGGCCCCATCGGGGGAGAAGGCCACGCTCCAGGTCTCGCAGCTCGATTTCCAGTCGTAGCGCTGGGGCCGGCCCGGCTTCAGCTCCGCCAGCAGCACCGGCTCCTCTGCGGGGCACAGCGCGTTACCGCGGCCCGCCTGCCCCCCGGTCCGGCCCCGCTGCCCCCCGCCCCGGGGCCCGCCTCACCTCCCACCGGCTTCATGGCGGCTCCGCGGCCCGCCCGGCCACGGCAAGGCCCAGCCGGGCCGGGCGAGGCCTCCGCGGGGCCGGCACCAGGCCCAGCGCTGCGGAAGCGGCGGAGAAGGGAGGGGACAACCGGTACCGCCTCCTGCTGCTCCGCCTCCTCTAGCACCGCCCCGGGGCACCGGGGACACCACCGGCAGCGGCACCCACACGGCGACACCCGCGGCAGTGGCAGCTCTCGGTGCCCCCCCCCCCCGCCAGCGCCGAGCCTCCCCTGCAGCCCCGGTGCCCAGCACCTAAATAGCGGCTGAAGGGACTACAACTCCCATCATGCCCCGCGCCTCCTCGTCGCCGGTCTCTGTTTGTCCGCGCCGCGGGGCATGTTGGGAGTTGTAGTCCCAGCATCCCTCCGCATCTCTCCCAGTACCCATGTGCGGGGCGAGCGCGGCTGGGCCCCCCCCCCCGCACACACACACACGTGTTCCTCTGCCCACGGGGGGTACCCAAACCGCCCCTTTGCCCACCCAGCATCCCTGCAACCGCGATGCCCCCCGTCCTCAGCGACATTCCCACCGGGAAGCAGCAGATCCACACAGGGCACACGGGGACGCTGTCCCGGCGCGGGGTGTATTCTGTTACACGGAGATGGACACACGGCACCGGCTGTACGCGGCTCCGTGGGGCGGGCGGCACGCCAGGAGCCCACGTGTGACAAAAGCACCAGCCCACGATGAGCGGGATGAATGGGGGACAACACGGGGACACGGGTGGCACCGGGTGGCCCAGGATGAATGGGGTGGGGGAACGACACACGGGGACCCGAGCCCACCCGGCTGGGCTGCGGAGTCGGCAGCGAAGCAGCGCAGGTGGCGGCGGTGGGGCACGGGGGGGGGGGGGGTGAAGAGGCGACGGGAGCCCCTCACCGTGGCCTCAGTCCTTCAGGGTGGCCTCGGAGACGCCCTGGGCCAGCAGCTCGGCCAGGACGTTGTCCAGGTAGTTGGGGTCCGGGTAGCCGTGGCCCGTGAGGTTGGATCCGAACTCGGTCTTGTGGTGGATCTCGTTCCACACCACCGTGTCCGACTCGCCCGTGGTGTTGGAGGTGCCGATGGTGAAGATGAGCCGCCGGTCCCAGGCCACGATCAGCAGCTTCAGCACCTGCGGTGGGCAGGCACAGCCAATGCTGGCCCCATGGGAGCCCCAGCACCTCTCCCACCCCGCACGGCCCCAGCACCCCGGGGGCAGGATTCACCCCATCACGGTGCCTGCGGTGCCACCCTTGCCTGTGGCATGTCCCAGCCCTGCAGCAGCACTGCTGCATCCTCCCCATTTCTTCCTATCCCATCCCATCCCTTTGCATTCTATCCCAGCCTTAGCATGCTTCATCCAATCCCATTCCCATTCCATCCCTTCCCTTCCTATTCCCTTCCCATTCCATCACAGTCCTGTCCCATCCCATTCCTTTCCCATTCCATTCCATCTGTATGCTTCCCTTCCCTTCTCTAATCCCGTCCCATTCCATTCCTTTCTCATTCCATCCCATCTGTATGCTTCCTTCCCTTCCCTTCCTATTCCATCCCAGTCCTGTCCCATCCCATCCCATTCCTTTCCCATTCGATTCCATCTGTATGCTTCCCTTCCTTTTCCTTCCCTTCCCTTCCTATCCCTTCCTATTCCCTTCCCTTCCCATTCCATCACAGTCCTGTCCCATCCCATTCCTTTCCCATTCCATTCCATCTGTATGCTTCCCTTCCTTTCCCTAATCCCATCCCATTCCATTCCTTTCCCATTCCATCCCAACCATACGCTTCCCTTCCCTTCCTATTCCGTTCTATCCCAATCCTGTCCTGTCCCATCCCGTTCCTTTCCAATTCCATCCCATCTGTATGCTTCCTTCCCTTCCCATCTGATTCCTTTCCCTTCTTTTCCCATTCCAGTCCCAGTCCCGTCCTGTCCCATCCCATTCTTCTCCCATCCTATCTCATCCCATCCAATTCCTTTCCCATCTGATTGCTCCTCCATCCCATTCTATCCAATCCCCATCCTTCTCTGTCCCATTCCCATCCCATTCCCACCCAGCCCTGGCTCCCTCACCTTCCTGCCCTTCTCATTGTCGGGCAGGTAGCAGTGCCGCGGGAAGCCGCGCGCCGTGAACTTCTTCCCGGGATTGGGATGCTCGGGGCCCTGGTGGGGATGCAGCCGATGAGCAGGTACCCGGGAAGGGGGGGTGATGCCCATCCCGACAGTGGGATCCTCACCTGGATCCCGGTGGGAATATCGTAGACGATCCGGATGGTTTTGGAGTCGGTGTAGCCCGGGAGGGAATGGGGGATGAGGTGGAATTCCATCTTCCCGGGGGGCTGCGTGCCCGTCTTCTCCCCATAAATGGCCTTACACGTGGGGCACTGCAGGCTGCCGTCCTGCACCCGTACCGGGGGCATCAGGGGCAGCACCCTCCTTCCCCAGCACCCCCAGGGAACGGTGACCATGGGGAGGTGTCCCCAGGGCAGGGATGCGCTCACCTTGTTGCCGTTGTTGTACATGGCCAGCAGGCAGAGGAGGTGGTACATGTGCCCGCACCGGCCCAGCCTGCCCACCAGCTCCGGCTTGATGCCCCTGTGGCTGAGCACACCCTCGTAGCCGGAGGAGGTGACCAGGCGCTCCATGCAGATGGTGCAATCCTGCCGGGAATGGGATGGGATGGGATGGGATGGGGAGGTCACCCCCGGCTCCCAGCCCGAGCTGCAGCTCTCAGGGATCCCCGCTCACCTCATCCGGGGGGTTCTTCACCTTCTGGATGTACCGACGGACCACGTCCTCAGGGGTCTTGCCTGCCATGGGCACAGGGGGGATGCCATCAGAGCCTGCCTATGGGGCCCTGAACCCCATCACCCACAGCCACCAGCATGGGCACAGCCTGAGGCAATGAGGAGCATGGGCATCACCTAAAACCCTCCAGCGCATCCCTTGGGGTCCCATCCCCATGGGCAGCAGCGGTGCCCGTGCCTCAGTTTCCCCCTGCAGGACACCATCAGCTCCTTACTCTTTTTGAGGTGCTTCTTCTTGGTCTTCCTGCAGATGCCATTGATGCCGGGCACGGGTTTGATGTCGCTCTTGCTGACGGGCGGTGGGTGCAGGATGGGTTTGGGGGCGCGGGTCAGGCAGACGGGGAGCCCCGCGGCACACATGAGGATTCCCGTCATCCCTGCACCGGGAACAGGAGCTGTGTGTCCATCCCCACCATGTCCCTGCATCCATCCCAGCACCGGTGCCACCCCGCTGTGGCACTCCTTACCTGCGAGGGCCGGGTGGATGGGACCGGTGCTGTTCAGGTTCTTGACTGGGAGAGCTGGGACCCTGCATGGAGACAGGAGGAGAAGGGGCTCAGCACAGTCCCCTCTGCACATGGAAGGTCCCCATGGGAAACAGGGCAGATGGGGGACATAGCCTTCAGGGGGCTGGTGTCCCACCACACAGGGCTGTCAGATAGGGCATGTGCCCACACCTGGGGACACCACGGGATCATGGAATCCCAGCCTGGTTTGGGTTGGAAGGGACCTTAAGGCTCATCCAGTCCCAACCCCTGCCACGGGCAGGGACCCCTTCCACTGGAGCAGCTTGCTCCAAGCCTCTGTGTCCAACTTGGCCTTGAACACTGCCAGGGATGGGGCAGCCACAGCTTCTCTGGGCACCCTGTGCCAGCGCCTCAGCACCCTCACAGGGAAGAGCTTCTGCCTAAGAGCTCAGCTCAGTCTCCCCTCGGGCAGGTTCAAGCCATTCCCCTTGGCCTGTCCCTACAGGCCCTTGTCCCAAGCCCCTCTCCAGGTTTCCTGCAGCCCCTTTAGGCACTGGAGCTGCTCTAAGGTCTCCCCTTCAGGAGCCTTCTCTTCTCCAGGCTGCCCCAGCCCAGCTCTCTCAGCCTGGCTCCAGAGCAGAGCTGCTCCAGCCCTCACAGCAGCTCCATATCCTCCTCTGCACTCGCTCCAACAGCTCCACGTCCCTTATTGGGATGCTCCACAGTGATACCCAATGTCCCTCATCCCCCCCACAGACCCACACCTCACCAGCTCACCCATCACCCTGGCCACCACCCCAATGCCCCAAGAGCCCCTTCAAGGGTACCAGCACCAAGACCCCCAAGGTGATGACTGGGGCCTCCCCATCTGCTCACCCCACTGACCCAGGCACACCTGCATGCACCCGTGTGTGCCAGGCTGGGAGTGCAGCCCGAAGCACAGGCACATGTGGGTGCAGGCACATCTGGGGGGAGCTGGGGCTGATGTGCAGGTAGGGATACAGCGGTGCCAGCAGTGGGGTGGAGGGAAGGAGGGACAGAGGGGTGGAGAGATGGATGGAGAGACGTGTGTGTGGCTTGGGAAGCAGAGGGACAGATGGATGGGCAGAGAGAGGGAGGGAGGGAGGGATGGATGGATGGACGGATGGATGATGGATGGGTGGATGGATGGATGGTGGATGGAGGGATGGATGGATGATGGATGGATGATGGATGGATGATAGATGGAGGGATGGATGGATGATGGATGGGTGGATGGCAGGCACAGGGCACGCACTGGGATGAAACACAAACAGGAAGCCCCACAGCAGAGCCCTGCACAGTGCCCCATTGCTCTCCTTCATGGGGTCTGCCCCATCTCAGCATCCAGGCAGCAGCCCCCCGACCAGTGTCAGCCCCTGCCCGGTGCCACAGGTCCCTGCTGCACGCAGTGATGAGCTCAGCAGTGCTCAGCCCCACACAAGCCGAGGATGCAGGAGTTTTCCCACCCGTTCCCAAAGCTGCCCCTGCACACACCAAGGCTGGGCAGTGGTGGAGAGCCCAGTTCCCCATCAAGGTCTTCCTGGCCCCCTCCTACCTGTCCATGGGGATGCATGGATGGGGCCTGTGTGCCGGGACGGGGACAGTAATGGGGAAGGGGACAATGGGCACACGGAAGCGAAAGCGGTGCAGCAGCAGGGGAAGGAAACGTGCCAGCACTGCCTGCACTGCTTGTCCCAGCCTGTCCCTGCCCGCCCTGCAGGTCCCATTAGCCCCGCTGCTGGCAGCCAGCAGAGAACAAGGCACCTCCATCCCCTCCCTTCCCCGCAGCTCCATGTGCCCGCCCCGACCCCTCGGTACCGTCCCCTCTCTCCCCACCCGCTCACCCTGCGGGCACGGTGGCTCGGGCTCCGATCGCAGCCCCGCGCTGCGCCCCGGGCCGGTTGAGGTTATTGAGCCCCGGCAGCGGCGCTGAGCCGGGCGCGCTGGGGCTGGGGGCGAAGCCAGCCCCGGGTACCCGCAGCCCCTCGCCCTTGGCCGCGCCGCCCGTCCCCACGGGCCATAGGGCTGGGCCAGCGAAGGTGCTGCTCTGCCGCACCGCGCCCGGGTACAGCTTGCGGCGCTGGGAGGCCAGGATGGCGTTGGAGGCAGCGCGGGTGCTGTTGACCAGCAAGCACTGAGCGCAGGAGCAGGGAGTCCCCGTGCTGGTGCCCACGGGCCACGACTGGGACTTGGGGATGGAGCCCATGGTGAGGGGATAGGCCAGGTCCATGCGGCGCCGCAGCCGGCGCTTGCGCTGCGTCTGCCGGTTCATCTGGGACATGCTGCTGAAGTAGATGAGGTAGCAGAAGCCCAGGGAGGAGAGGTCCAGCCAGGGGTGCTGCTTCTCGTAGGCGTTCTGGATGGTGATGCAGATGTCCATGTCGTAGGGGGTCCAGGAGCTGTTGTCGTTCTCCCATTCCCACACGATGCCTTTCCCCGGCGCTGAGGATGGGTCATAGAAGTTCCTCCGGACGGGGCGCATGGTCCCTGGGGAGACAATGGGGTGAGCACCCCCAGTGGAAGGGGTCCCTGCCCGTGCCAGGGGGTTGGAACTGGAGGAGCTTTAAGGTCCCTTCAACCCAAACCGGGCTGGTTCTATGGCTCTATGAGGGATCAGTGTCTACAGGGCTCATGAGGGCTCTGCCTCGGCACTTGTGATGCTCCATTAGCAGTGATGGCTCAGCCAGTGGCTGGGATGCTGACAGCCAGGATCCCGGCCCCAGCCACCATGGGAAGGGCGATGCCGCTCATCCCCTTTTCCCATCCCTCTGCTCCAGGCCCATCCCTGCCAGGATCCCATCCCTGTGTCCCTGCAGCACTTCCCGGTCAGCAGGGGTTTCCTGGCAGCTGCTTTGGCTCTGCCTGATGCTCGCAGCCAAGGCACCAAGGCACCATCCCTCATCCACGGCCAAATCCCAGCCCCTCGCTGTGTGCGGGTGCTGCAGCCCCTGCCTGAGCACTGCCGCTGCCCCTGGCTCGGCTCCATCCCCGTCTGGCCCCATTAATGGCACTAATTGACAGTCATTAATCATGGGCCGGTGCCCGGGTCAGGCAGCAGGGCCCAGCCCAGCTGGTGCTGAGGCAGCACTGCTGCGGCCCCAAGGGAGGAAGGCTCCAGCCTGCTCATCCCGCCCGGCCCCATCCCATGTCCATGTCCTGCATCCTGCTCCTGCTCACATCCATCCCTGTGTCCATGCTCCCCATCCTGCTGCCCACATCCTGCTCACATCCATGCCCTGCATCCCATTTGTGCTCACATCCATCCCTGTGTCCATGCTCCCCATCCTGCTGCCCACATCCTGCTCGCATCCATGCCCTGCATCCCGCTTGTGCTCACATCCATGCCCTGCATCCCGCTTGTGCTCACATCCATCCCTGTGTCCATGCTCCCCATCCTGCTACCCACTCATACCCACATCCTGCTCAAATCATGCCCTGCATTCCACTTGTGTTCACATCCATCCCGTGCTCATGTCACCCGTCCTGCTGCACACTCATACCCACATCCCACATCCCACATCCCACTCACATCCATGTCCCACATCCCACTCTCCACTCGCAGCCTCATCCCGCATCCCGCTGCCGCAGAGCAGGGGAGGATGGGGGGGTGACATTCCAGCCCATCCATGTGGGCACACACAGGTCCCCAGGAGCCATCAGCTCCCCCAGCCCCACATCCCCTGACCCTTCCACCAGCCATGGGGTCGAGCCAGTGTCCCCAGTGGCCACCATCATGGAATGCGCTCGGAACAGGGTCACCTCATTTCACTCCATTGCTGGTCTGGGTTGGGTTCCTCCCTCCACAGGCATGGCACAAACCAACCCCTCCTTGCTCCCAGCCTCCTGCCCGCATTGCCGGTGTCCCCATGCCACAGCAGGCACCAGCAGCACCCTCAACACAGGGACCCTCATGTCCCCGAGCACCATGGGGGTCCAGGACCCTTCAAACCTGGCTGCCCCTGGCCTCATCCTGGGGCAGTGGTGATGGATGGTGGTGGGAACTGGGATGGGGCACAAAGAGGTGATGGTCAACAGGATGGAGCAACGTCCCTTCCCATGATATCCCTCTCCCAGCATCCCTGTCCCCAAGCCCTGCGGTACCCAAGGACATGCCAGGAAGCACCAGTTTGCTCCCAGCAGGGATGTGTGACACCTAAACCCAGCCATGGCCATGGGATGTGACACCAGATGCCTGCTGTCCGAGGATGCAGGAGCTGGCATGGGGACAGCCAGGGTGTCCCTCTGGCACTGCAGCCCTATGGGGCCCTGCCACGCTGACTCAGGGCTGCGGGTGCCAAGCTGCCCTTTGCCAAGTCCATCCAGAGCCCGATCTGGAGCCAGGTTCAGTGGCAGAGGCAGCACAAGGGTGACAGCTCCCTGGCTCCATCCCCGTCTTGGTCCCCAGCCCATTGTGGGAACCACATCCGCATGCAGGGCCATTTGCCATGGCTGGTGACCTGGAACGATGGCACCGGTGGCCATGGGGTCCTGCTCTGGGGTGGCCCTGTGTGTCCCCAGGTGAGTGATGAGGGATGCAGGGATGGCCGGGACAGCGCCCGGACCAGCAGAGCTGGCACACTCCGCTTTACTGGGACGCATTAATGGGGTCTGGGCTGTGGACCAGCTCTGATTTCCCCCAGGATGCATGGCCTGGATGTGTGCTGCAGCACGGTGCTGTCAGCAGCTCCCAGTGCCCAAACTGGAGCATTCCCAGTTCCCTGGGGAGCCGGGATGGAGCAGCTTTCTGGGGCAAAGGGGTGGCCAGTGGGACATGCCACCCAGCATAGCACCTCACTGGGAAGTGAGAGGGGCGGGAGGGATGCTGGGATATATCCCTCCTGGGCAGGGGTCTGTGGTGGAGGAAGGCCTAGAGGAGTCTCCTGGGGTCCATGGGGGGAAAGAAAGAGGGGAGGAGAGAAAGGATGGGAGGGACAGATGGATTGGTATATGGATGGATGGGAGATGGATGGATGGATGATGGAGGGATGGATGGATGGATGATGGATGGGTGGATGGATGGAGGGATGGATGGAGGGATGGATGGAGGATGGATGGAGGGATGGAAGGAGGATGGATGGATGATGGATGGATGAATGAATGGATGAATGGATGGATGGATGGAGGATGGAGGGATGGATGGATACATGGATGGATGGATACATGGATGGATGGAGGGATGCATGGATGGATGGAGGGATAGACAGATGGCTAGATGGATGGAGGGATGGGTGGATGGACAGATAGACAGGTGGGTGGATGGATGGATGAATGAATGGATTGATGGATGCATGGAGGGATGGATGGATGGATGGATGGATGGATGGATGGATGGATGGATGGAAATTGGATGCATGGATGGATGGATACATGGATAGATGGAGGGATGCATGAATGGAGGGATAGATGGATGGCTAGAGGGATGGAGGGATGGGTGGATGGACAGATAGATGGGTGGATGGATGGATGGATGCATGGAGGGATGGATGGATGGCAATTGGATGCATGGATGGATGGATAAAGGATAAATGGATGGACAGATGGATGGATCGATGGATGGAGGGGTGATGGATGGGTGATAGATGGGTAGATGGATTCACGGATGGTTATTCCCGTCTTGGCGCCATCCCCTTACCCGTGTCCTGCCGGAACTGGTGCATGGACTGGAGGTCTATGATGTAGGGCGCCAGCTGGACATCGACCTGCCCCAGCACCACGCTGCCACGGGCGTCCTCCTTCAGCACGTTCTCGATGTGGTGGCACACGGCGGCCGAGTAGGGCCTCCAGCGCCCGTGCTCGTTCAGCCACTCCCACACCACCACCCGGGCCAGGTTCTGCGGGGGGAAGCCGAGGCCCCCGGCGGGCAGCATGGCCCCCGCTCCCTGCCGGGCCATGCCGGGGCACAGCGCCTCGGCCCCGCTCCGCACCGGGCCACAGCGACACGGGGGCAGCGCCTCGGGGTTGTTCCCCCGGTGCTCAGCAGAGGCGGGCGCTGCCTGCCCGCTCCCCGCGGTCCCCGCGCAGCCCGGTCCCCGCACACCCCGCGCTGGGGGCTTCCATCACCGCGGTCCTCCTCGGGCCTTGCTCCTCCGTGCGGCGCTGGCAGGGCTCCGCCACCGGGACCCCCGCGCCGGTCCCCAAGGCACCTCCTCCTCCTCCTCTTCCTCCTCACGTCCTCGCTGGCTCCAGGGCTGTCCCCGCCGCACCGCACCTCACCGCGGGTGAACAAACGGGGGTGTCAGCTGCAAAACAGGGCCCCGGACACGGTCACCCCATGGCCCCTGATGGGTGGCAGCGTGGGGACGGTGCCCACCAGCCCCATGGAGCCGGGGGACAGCGAGGCCGCTGTGCCCGCAGCCCTGGCAGCGCGGGCTCCCTGCCAGCCCCGGCCGGCTGCCGGCCTCCAACGTGACAGTGGGGACAAGGGGGACATGGCGGGGGGGGGGACGACAGGAGACCCTGGTCACTGCCCTGGGAGGAGTCTGGGGTCCCATAGGATGGAGGTCCCCATCTCTCCCTGCGCTGTCAGGGTGCGGGGAGCCCGCAGACCCCGAGCCCACTCCAACCCCTGTGATTGATGATCTGCACTGCAGGCATCGGGCTTGGGGGTGAGCCCGGGCCCCCCGCTCCTTCATCGCAGCCCCGAGCCCACCCCCAGCACCCCCTGCATGGGGTTGGGGGGCTGAAGGAGGAGGGCTGTTTGCTGCACAGCCGCTGTAAGCGCAGCCGGACACACGGACACAGACACGGTGACACAGAGACACGGGCTCACACGCAGCCGGTGACACAGCCAGCGGGACACAGACACAGACACACGGGGACCCACGGCAGCGCAGCCCCCCCCCCGGGACGCTCACACACACGCACGCAGCCTCCCGCCGCCACACGCGTGTGCCCCCCGTGCTCACCCCGCGCCCTCCGTGACCCGAGCACCGCCGGAGCCGGGGGGAGCCTCACGCCAACACCGGGACCCCCCCTTCCCCGGTTGCTTTGGGGGGGGGGGGGGAAGGCCAGGCCTGACCCCCTCTTCCCGGTCCCCCCGGTGCGCGGCAGCCCCCGCACCCCCGCTGCACGCAGCTCCCGCTGCCCGCTCCCCCCCGGTTCACGCAGCCCCCGGTGCACGGTGCCCCCCCCTTCCCCATCCCCGGTGCTCGGTGCCCCCCTCCCCCGGAGCCGTTTCCCCCCGCCCCGCCATGGCCGCCGCCGCCCGGCATCGCCCGCGCTCCTCACCGCGACCTCCGGCCGCCGCAGCGGGACCCGCATCCGCACCGGGAGCAGCGGCGGCGGCGGCGGCGGCGGGCGCGGGGCCGGGCGGCGGCAGCGATCGCCAGCGCCAAGCAGCCACGGGCACCGGCGGAGGCGCGCACGGCAGCGCGGGCACCCGCGCCGGGGACACGCATCGGGACCGGGCACCGGGAACACGCATCTGGGACCGGGCACCCGCATCGGGACCGGGCACCAGCACCGGGGTCACGCAGCGGGAACGGGAGCACGCACCCGGGACAAGCACCGGGGCTGCGGTCCCGCACCGGGGACCTGGACCAGGATTGGGCACCCACAGCGGGGACACGCACCCGGACCGGGGACATGCGGTGGGTCTGGGCACCCACACCGTGGCTGCACCCACACCAAGGGACACGCACCGGTGCCCCGCATTGGGGACCCGTACCGGGGACAGCACCAGCACCCATCCTGGCACCCGGAGCACCAGCCACAAGTGCACCCACACCCAGCACAAGGCCAGAACCACACCAGGGACACCACTGACACCGGGCACTCAGCACCCAACACCCAGCACCCAGCACTCAACACCCAGCACCCAACACCCAGCACCAGCACCCAACACACAACACCTAGCACCAGCACCCAGTATCCAACACCCAGCACCCAACACCCAGTACCGGCACCCAGCACACAACATCCAGCACCAGCACCCAACACACAACACCTAGCACTAGCACCCAGTATCCAACACCCAGCACCCAACACCCAGTACCGGCACCCAGCACACAGCAGCCAGCACCCAGCACACAACATCAGCACCCACACCAGCACCAGTGCACAGCACCCAGCACCCAAAACCAGCCCCAGCATCAGAACCAACACCAGCACCCAGCACCTAGCATCAGCACCAGCATCCAGCTCCAAGCACCCAGCACCAGTACCCAGCATCCACCACCGGCAGCTACCACCAGCACCCAGAACCAGCACCCAGCACCAGCACTCAGCACCAGCACCCAGCACCCAGCACCAGCACTCAGCACCAGCACCCAGCACCCAGCACCAGCACCGCACCAGCACCCAGCACCAGCACCCAGGACCAGCACCCAGCACCCACCACCAGCATCCAGCACCAGCACCCAGCACTCAGCACCAGCACTCAGCACCAGCACCCAGCACCCAGCACCAGCACTCAGCACCAGCACCAGCACCCAACACCCAGGACTAGCACCAGCACCCACCACCAGCACTCAGCACCCAGGACCAGCACCCAGCACTCAGCACCCAGGACCAGCGCAGGACCGGGCACCGCTGGCCCCGCAGTGACCCCTGGTGGCCTCGGGGACACCCGCCCGATCCCTTCATCCCGCACGGGGCAGGAGCCCCACATCCATCCCCACATCCATCCCCGCATCCATCCCCGCATCCATCCCTGCCCCATCCCTGCCCCATCCCTGCCCTGAGCTGCCCCCAGCTCTCACATCCCCAGGGCAGATGGGGCAGGGGCCAGTGCCCTGAGCAAGGCTCAGGCAGGGGTGGGGGCCCCCATCAGCACCCATGGGACCCACCAGCAGCCTGTGCCCATCCCAGCACGTCCCACGTTGAGCCCTGTTCCCTGCCTGGGACCTGGAATGGGGGCCTGGAGCTGGGATGGAAACATGGCATGGGGACAAGGACCTGGGACAGGGACCTGGAGATGGGGCAGGGCCATGGCTTGTGGACATGGATGGAGCCGGCCCGAAACAGGCGGGGAGCCCTGGGGGGATTCCAGCCCTCGAGAAGGGGGTGGCCATGGGAGAAGGGACCCCAGGGCTGGCCGGGGGTCACTCAGGGACCCATGGGGCCAATGCCCTGTGCAGCCTGAAGCCAGGCCCCGTGTGCTCCACTTGGTGCTGGGTAAAGCCAGGAGGGAGCAGGAGTGGGGCTGCCCCACTTGAGGGGGACAAGACGGGGACTCCAGTGCCTGCAGCCCCGCAGAGCCAAGTGGGATCCATCCCATGGAGGGGAGCACCCAGACCCAAAGGGGGGGACACGAGCATCCCTCGGTGCAGCATCCCACGGGATTCCAGCGCCCGCCGCAGCCTTGTTTAGTCTGAGGAGGAGCGCGGTGACCTTCGTCTGCTGCAGCACCCACAGAGGCAAACAGCCCAGCAAGGCCACCCCGGGGGGCCGGGGGACACCCCGTGCTCCCATCGCCGGTGTGGGGTGCGCTTGTGGGGTCCATCAACCCCCATCACCCCAATTCATCCATTCACCCATGGGGGGGTATGGGGGTGCTCCCTCCTCCTGCCCCATTTGTGTCCCCCCAAAACCAGATCCAGCACTTCCGTTCTCCCCATAGATGGGGGGGTACAAGCAGGGCGCATCCCCCTACACTGCATTGGTGGGGTTCTGGATGCCTGGGACCTCTATGCAAGTGATGGGGAGTGATGGGTGCTGACAGCAGAGGGTGGGGGGTCCTGGGTGCTGCTGGTGCAGGGCCGTGAGCACAGGCACAGACCCCCCCAGCAGGGACCACCCGCACACATGCCATGCACACACACACACACACACACACACACATGGCCTCCTTGCATGCCCCGACACGGGACCACACACACGCACATGGAAGAGGCAGCCGGAAGAGCAGCAGAGACAGGCGGACAGGCAGGCAGACAGGCGGACAGACAGGCAGACAGGCGGATGTACACACACCCAGGCTGCGGACACGCACAAACACAGGACATGAACACGCAGGGACCTGCAGCACACGCAACACGGGTGAGCCATGTGAGCCCACGGGCGAGGGCATGAGGACAGAGATGTGCACACAGGGGGTGAACCCATGCACATACAGGGAGTGAACCCATGCACACATATACAGACACACACATGAAGCCGTGTGCACACAGATGTGTGCACCCATGCACGCGTGGATGCACCCACATCCATGTGCCAATGCACATGTGCATGCACACACACATGTGGACCTGTGTGCATACAGATGTGCACACACAGAAGCACACATATGTGTGCGCCCATGCACACACGGAAACATCCTTAGATGTGAACCCATGTACACGCACACACGTGCATACCCATGCATACACCGAAGCGCACATACGTGTGCACCCACGCACATGGACACGCACACACGTGTGCGCACCCACACGGACACACATCGTGCCCCCCCCCCGGGGCCATGGCTCTGTGTGTGTGTGTGTGTGTACCCAGACCGTACCGCCGGCGGGGCGGAAGGCAGGAGGCGGGGGGTCCCTCCTCCTCCTCCATCCCTCCTCCTCCATCCCTCCTCCTTCATCCCTCCTCCTTCATCCCTCCTCCTCCTCCTCCTCCCGCTCCGCTGCCCCTCCCGCCGCTCGGTGCCGGTGCCGATGCCCGGGCATTGCCGGCAATGGCTGGACGTGCCCGGGGCCGCTGCCTCCGCTGCCTGCCGCTGCCTGCATCGCTGCCTGCACCCCTGCGGCTCTGCCTGTGCCTCTGCTGCTGCCTGCTGCTGCCGCCCGCCGCCCGCAGGTACCGGCACCGGGGCACCGGGGCATAGGGAGGGGGGGATGTCTGGGCACGGAGCGCAGGCACCGAGGAGCAGCGGGATGTGGTCAATGGGTACCGGGGGGCATCGGGCACCGGAGCATTGGGTACGGGGGGCATCGGGTGCAGGGACTGCTCGGTCTGTGCTGCTGGGGCTGCCGGGGCTGGGAACGCTGTGATGGGGGTATCGGGGCTTTCTGGGGGATATGGGAGCAGAAGGACTGACTGGGACTAACGGGGGGACTACTGGGACTAGTAGGGCTTATCCAAGGGCTGGTAACTGGGGTTACTGGGGGTACTGGGTGCTCTGGGGGCTGGTGGTGGGGGTCCTGCCCGTGCCCGGGGCCACCACTGCCCATTCTGGGGGGCCGTGGTCCCCATGTCGTCGTCCCCCCCCCCCGCAGGGGGTGCCGGGGGGGTTGTTTACAGGAAACCTTTGGCTCTGGCCGTGTCTCCGGCACCGGATTGCCGGGACCTCCCGGTTCCGCTCGGGTCGGCAGCGGGCAGAAGCTGCCTCATTTCCCCTTCCCCTCCCGGCCATGCCCAGGAAGCCCCCGGCGCCTTGGCACTGCCCTGTGGGGTCCCCTCGGGACACCCCAGCCTTGCACCCGGCGCCTACCACCCTGCCGATGGCTCCAGGGAGCCCCCACCCCACTCCTTGGGCTAAGGCATGGCTGGGGTCCTCCGTGTCCAAGCGGGGGGGCACGAAGCCAACGGGATGCTCTTGGGAAGGGGTGGACTTGGACTGGGAGCCAGCCCCAAGGCGGGCTCTGCCCGGGTGTGTGTCTGCAGAGCCCGGGGCAACTCAGTGCAGGGGTGGTGGGCCAGGTCAGGCGAGGCAACGCGAGCCCCTGCATGCCAAGGCCTGATGCCCGCCAGCTCCTGTCCTCTCTCTGCCAGGAGGGAGGAGAAACGGTCTGGGATCCATTCCCATTCCCCATCCTCATTCTCTCTTCCCCATCGCCATCGCTCATTCCCCATCCCCATTGTCCATTCCTCATTCCCCTTTTCCCTTTCCCCGTTCCTCATTCTCCATCTTCAACCCCCTTTCCCTACTCCCTACTCCCCATTCCGTTTCCCCCATTCCCCTTTCTTCACTCTCCTTTCCCCATTCCCTATTCCCCTCTCCCTTTTCCCTGTTCCTCATTCCTTTTCCCCCATTCCCATTCCTCATTCTCCATCCCCATCCCATCCCATCCCCGCGGGCAGCCAGCGCTGGCACCGCTCCCTCACCCTCACCCTGCAGCAGCTTTGGCCACATCCCGTTGCCATCCGCATGGGGACCGTCCCCGGGGGAGCCGGATGAGGGCAATGCTGGGGGGGTGTCCCCGCTGGTTGGGGGGCGCTGGGGGTGCCGCTGCCCCCCCCCCATAGGACCCCGCGGGTGGCATCAAGAGCGCGGAGCGGGCTCGGCGCTGTCGTGGCGCTGGCTCCCATCCCGCTTGGGCTGGTGCCCGGCCGGAAAGCCCTGTGCCCCCCCGCTGTGCCCCCCGGCACCTCCCACACTATTGTGTGCCCCCCCCCCCCCACCCGAGCTTGCAGGGGCTGCGGCGGCCCCAAAACCTCCGGGTTTGACCCCAATTGCAGAGCCGAGGGTGCAGGCTGGGACACGGGGACCCCTCCGCAGGGGGAAACTGAGGCTGGGCGGGCAGAGCCTGGCATGAGGAGCCCGAAGAAAGGAGCCTTTGTGCGGGGAGGGGTGGGCTGGGGGTGCGGGGGGGGGGTGCTCTGGGCTCTGCTCCAGGCCAGCCGGCGCCAGAGCCATGCCGGGTGGGAATGCTGCAGGAATGCGGGGCCCCAGCTCCCCCTCATGGGGTGCCAGGGACGGGGCTCCTCATGGGCACCCCCAAAGCTGGGCTGGGGGGGGGTTGAGGGGTAAGAACCCATGTGATGGGGTGGGGGGACACTGCCAGGCCCATGGCAGGGCTGGTAGTACCAGCGGTCTCTCTTGCAGCAACTGGTGCTCGTACACGGTGACACGGACGGTGTCGTGCCACGTCCAGAACGGCACCTTCCTGCAGCGCGTGTTCCAGGGGTGCCGCTGGCCCCTGGCCTGCAGCGGGGGCAGGTGAGCAGTGACACCCCCCCCCCCCAGCACCCTGGGATGCAGGGCTCCATCACCCCGGGATGCAGGGCTCCATCACCCCAGGATGCAGGGCTCCATCACCCCAGGATGCAGGGCTCCATCGCCCTGGCACAGGGTGCTCCATCACCCCAGGATGCAGGGCTCCATCACCCTGGCACAGGGTGCTCCATCGCTTCAGGATGCAGTGCTCCATCACCCCAGGATGCAGGGCTCCATCGCCCTGGCACAGGGTGCTCCATCACCCCGGGATGCAGGGCTCCATCACCCCAGGATGCAGTGCTCCATCACCCTGTAATGGGGTGCTCCATCACCCCAAGACGCAGTGCTCCATCACCCCAGAATGCAGGGCTCCATCACGCCAGGATGTAGGGCTCCATCACCCCAGAATGCAGTGCTCAATCACCCCAGAATGCAGTGCTCCATCACCCCAGAATGCAGGGCTCCATCACCCCAGAATGCAGTGCTCCATCACCCTGGCACGGGGTGCTCCATCACCCCAGGATGCAGAGCTCCATCACCCCAGAATGCAGTGCTCCATCACCCCAGGATGCAGGGCTCCATCACCCCAGGATGCAGTGCTCCATCACCCCAGGATGCAGGGCTCCATCACCCCGGGATGCAGTGCTCCATCACCCCAGAATGCAGGGCTCCATCACCCCAGAATGCAGTGCTCCATCACCCTGGGATGCAGGGCTCCATCACCCCAGAATGCAGTGCTCCATCATGCTGGGATGCAGGGCTCCATCACCCCAGAATGCAGGGCTCCATCACCCCAGAATGCAGTGCTCCATCATGCTGGGATGCAGGGCTCCATCACCCCAGGATGCAGTGCTCCATCACCCTGGGATGCAGGGCTCCATCACCCTGTAATGGGGTGCTCCATCACCCCAAGATGCAGTGCTCCATCGCCCCAGAATGCAGGGCTCCATCACGCCAGAATGCAGTGCTCCATCACCCCGGGATGCAGTGCTCCATCACCCCAGGATGCAGGGCTCCATCACCCTGCAATGCAGTGACAGCAGTGCCTTGCTCTGTGCCAGCAGCTACCGCACCATGGTCCGGCCCATCTATAGGGTGAGCTACAGGACACTGACAGCGCTGGAGTGGAGGTGCTGCCCTGGGCACAGCGGAAGCAACTGCCAGGAAGGTGGGAATGGGCTCGTCCTGACCTGGTGCTGGGCTTCTGGTGCTTACCAGGGGTGTCAGTGAGGGGCTGTGGTACCCCAAGGCATTGGGGTTGCTGCTGAGGTGGGCAGGGTTGGGAGAAGTGGATCCATGAATGGAGGGATGGATGGATGGAGGATGGAGGAACGGATGGAGGGATGGATGGGGATGTTCTGTGTGGATGAATGGCTAGACGGGTGGATGTTCCCATGGTTGAGTGGATGGATAGATGCTCCCATAGATGGATGGATGGATGGATGGATGGATGGATGGATGGATAAGTGGATAGATGGCTTGGCTTGATGTTCTTCAATGGGTGGGTGACATCCCTGTGTGTGGATGGATGGCAGCTGGATGAGATGGAGTAGGCAGATCACTGTGGAGCAGTGGGTCATGGCTGATGGATGGGTATCCCCCCATTAGGCTGGATGGGGACATGCAGGGGTGCATGGGTGCTTGGCTTGGCTGGGAATAACAGGAAAGGTCCCTTCTGGTGGGATGGGTGCTGCCACCTCTGCAGGGGGCCTCCAGCCTGCTCTTCATCCCCATCCTCACCCTCCTCCTTGGACCTCACTGAGGGTCCCTATCCCATAGGGGCAGCGGCAGGCACCGGGACCTCCGGAGCCAGCTGGGTGGCAGCAGCACAGGGGGATGTGGGGGGGCTCTTCCTCCTCCTCCTCCTCCTCCTCCTCTCTGTGTGCTTGGCCGAGTGCCCCACATCTGGCCCTGCTTAGCGCGGTGCTGCCCATCCCTGTGCACGGTGGTGGCACTGGGGCCATGGGGTGTTGTGGGGATGGGCTCAGCACTGGGGGGGGGAGTTAGGGGGTGGGTTTGGGGGCTCTGAACCCCTTTTTCCTGCCCTCCCCTCTTTCTGAGCAGAGGCTCCCACCCTCCTGTCCCTGCGGGACTCCGGCCGCCCCAGCGCTGCCCCACGGCGCCCCCTCCTGCGCCCCACGGCTTTCTCAGGTGGGTCCAGCCCCACAGCACCCATAGGGGTGAAGAGGAGAGGGTGCCCCCCACCCCACCGCGGTGCCCCCTGTTTTGCCCCCCATAGGGTGCCTGAACTGCAGCCGTGTTGGGGAGCTGACAGCCCGGCTCGCCACGCTGGAGGCGCAGGTAAAGGCATCACTGTGCCACCGACCTGGGTCCTGTCCCCCCCTCCGGTCATGGTGCTCCCCTTCGATGGATGCAGCACCCCGGGGGGGGTCACCTACAGCACCCATCCCTGCTGGCCCGTTCCCTGCAGGTGGCCCGGCTCTCAGTGTCGGACCCCCCCAGCACCACCCCAGCACCCAAAGGCAGCGCCCTGGGCAGGGGGGCAGAGATGGGGCAGCTCTGGGGGTCCCCGGCTGCCCGCGGGAGCCCTGGGGATGATGGTAAGGAAGGAGCTGACCCCCCCAACCCCACATCCTGCCCCCTACCCTTGGTGACAGTGACAGTGCCCTGGGAAACACACCCTGGGGTTGTTAATGTTTGGGGGGCACCTTGGGTACACCCCTCTGGGGGACCCTCAGTCCCACTTTGGTGTCCCATCCCCATCCCATCCCACCTCCATTTCCATCCCCATTTCCATCCTGCTCTCCATCCCCACCCCATCCCTGTCTCCATCCCCATCCCATCTCCATCCCCATCCTCATTCTATTTTCTTCCTTATCCCCATCTCCATCCCCATTCCCATCCCATCCCCATTTCCATGCCCATGCCCCCAGTCCCCATCTCCATCCCCATCCTCATCCTATTTTCATCCCCATCCTATCCCCATCTCCATCCTCATCCTATTTTCATCCCCATCCCATCCCCATCTCCATCCCCATTCTATCCCATTCCCATCCCCATCTCCATTGCCATCCCCATCTTTATCCCCATCTCCATCCCAGTCCCCATCCCCATTCTATCCCCATCCTATCTCCATCTCCATCCCATCCCCATCACCAACCCATTCCCATCTCCATCCCAATCACAGTCCCCATCCGTATCCCCATCCCATCCCCATCTCCATCCCCATCTCCATCCCCATCTTCATCTCCATCTCCATCTCCATTTCCATTCCCATCCTATCCCCATTCCCATCCCATCCCCATTCCCATACCCATGCCCCCCAATCCCCATTTCCATCGCCATCCTCATCCTATTTTTATCCCCATCCCATCCCCATCTCCATCCCAGTCCCCATCCCCATTCCATCCCCATCCTATCTCCATCTCCATCCCATCCCCATCGCCAACCCATTCCCATCTCCATCCCAATCATAGTCCCCATCCCCATCCCCATCTCATCCCCACCTTCATCCCCATCTCCATTTCCATCCCTATCCCATCCCCATTCCCATCCCATCCCCATTCCCATACCCATGCCCCCCAATCCCCATTTCCATCCCCATCCTCATCCTATTTTCATCCCCATCCCCATCCCCACCCCATCCCCATACACATCCCATCCCCGTTCCCAACTCCATCTGCATCTCCATCACCATCCCATCCGATCCCCATTCCCATCTCCATCCCCATCTCCATCCCAGTCCCCATCCCCATCCCATCCCCATCCTATCTCCATCTCCACCCCATCTCTATCCTCACCCATATCCCAGTCCCACCCCATCCCCATTTCCATCCCCTGGGATATTTGGCCACAAGTGATGCCCAGAGCAGGGGACGGGGGGGGGTGTTGGATGTTGAAGGGCTTTAGGCTTTGCTGCCCCCCCCCAGTGCTTTGGTTTGGGGCAGGGTGGGGGCACCCGCCCTTGGGGTGCCCCTTGGACCAATGCTCTCCCCAGGGGGTGCTGGGGAAGGCACCCACAGAGGGGGGGTCCCTGAGGGTGCTGTTGGCTGCAGGGAAACCTGGCTCCAGGGGGCCCCCCGGCCCCAAGGGGGATGCAGGAGGACGGGGACCGTCGGGAATCCCGGGGGTGAAGGGGCCGATGGGGCCACCAGGTAAGGGGGGACCCCCGGGGGGGGGGGGTGAATCCATCTCGGTGCTGGCTCCATCCAGGGCAGATCTCGGGGGCCCTGCAGCAGTTTTGGGGCTCAGCTCCAGGCATTGGGGTTCAACAGGGACCCCCCCCCCCAGCCTTCACCCTCCTGTTACTCCCTGCAGGCCCCCCCGGCTCCCCAGGACCACCCGGCAGGGATGGAGCCAGGGGGGATCCTGGAGAGAAGGGGTCACCCGGGCCCCCCGGCCCCCCTGGGCCCCCTGCACCTGTGGGGCCAGCGGTGCCCCGCACCCAGCCCAGTAAGGAATGAATGGGATGGGGATGGGGAAGGGATGGGAAGGGAATGGGAATGGGATGGGGATGGGGATAGGGTTGGGGATGAGGATGGGGATAGGATGGAGATGAAGATGGGGATGGGGAAAAGGTGGGGGTAACAATGGAATGGGGATTGGGATGGGGATAAGGAAGGAATGCGGACTGGGATTGGGATTGGGATGGGGATGGGGATAAGGATGGGGTTAGGATGGAGATGAAGATGGGGCTGGGGAAAAGGATGGGGATAAGGATGGAATGGGGATTGGGATGGGGATAAGGAAGGAATGGGGATTGGGATTGGGATTGGGATGGGGATGGGGATAAGGATGGGGATTGGGATGGAAATGGGATAGGGATGAGGATGGGGGTGGGATGGGAATGAAGATGGAGATGAGGATGAAGATGGACATGGGGATGAGGATGGGGATTGTGATGGGGATGAGGATGGGGATTGGGATGGAAATGGGATAGGGATGAGGATGGAGATAGGGCTGGGGATGAGGATGGGGATGGGATGGGGATGAAGATGGAGATGGGGGTGGGATGGGGATGTAGATGGAGATGGGGATGAAGATGGGGATTGGATGGGGATGAAGATGGAGATGGGGGTGGGATGGGGATGTAGATGGAGATGGGGATGAAGATGGGGATGGGGATGAGGATGAGGATTGTGATGGAAATGGGATAGGGATAAGGATGGGGATGAGGATGGGGATGGGATGGGGGTGAAGATGGAGATAGGGGTGAAGATGGGGATGGGGTTGAAAACGCATATGAAGATGAGGATGGGATGGAGATGAAGATGGGGATGGAGATGAAGACAGGGATGGGTTAGGGATGGGATGAGGATGGAGATGGGAATGGTGACAAGGATGGGGATTGGGATGGGATGGGGATGGGATTGGGGTTTACAGGGTACCCCACCCATGCTGCCCCTCCCCATTTCCCCCCAGGGGACCCGCTCCTGACCAACACCGTCACTGAAGCTGCCGGGGGGATCGTGGGTCCCGCCGGACCCCCCGGACCCATGGGGCCAATGGGTGCGTGCGTGTATGTCCCATCCCCACCCCATCACTTTGGGGGTGTCCCTCTGTGGGGCACCCTCCCAGCCCCAACCTGAGCCGTGCCTCCTCTCCTGCAGGTCCCCCCGGTCCCCCCGGTCCCATAGGGCCCCCCGGCCCCCCAGGACCCGATGTAAGTGCTTGTGTGGGGGGGGGGCATGGGGTGGCTTCACCCCCATCGCATCCCCCCCACCCCATGGCTGATGCCTCCTTGTCCTTGCACAGGGCAGAGCCGGGGCTCCCGGCCCCCCCGGGGACAAGGGGGACAAGGTGAGTGTGGCACAAAAGGGGGGGGCTCTGTGAGCATCCCAATGGGTTCTGACTGGCTCTTGTCCCCCCCCAGGGCCCCCCCGGGAACCGCGGGCAGGATGGGGCGCAGGTACAGGCCTGGGTCGGGACCCCCCTAACCCTAACCCTAAACCCCCCCCCACTTCCATGCCCCCTCAATGCCAGGCCCCCTCCTCTCTGTGTTTCAGGGTGACAGAGGCCCCAGGGGCGAACCGGGGGACAGGGGCACCTGGGTGAGTGATGGGGGGCACGAAGGGGGGGCCCTAACCCCCTCCCCGGACCCCAATGGGACATCCCCAGTGTCGTGTCCCATCCCCATCACCCCAATGCTGACCTGGTGGGATTCCCCCCACCCAATCCCCATTGCCCCACTGGTACCAGGCAGTGGGGGGGGGTGTGGAGTCCCTTCTGTGACCCACATCCAGGGGGTATCCCCGGGTCCATGTGTGGGTCCTGCCCCACTGAGCCGGTGCCTGTGCTCTGGCAGGGGGAGGGCCTGCACCAGCTCCGGGAGGCGCTCAAGATCTTGGCAGAGAGGGTTCTAATCCTGGAGACCATGATCGGGCTCTATGGTGAGTGGGTGACGTCATCGTGACGTCATCGTGACGTCATCGTGATGTCATCGTCCATGCCCTGTTGGCATCAATGGCCATAGGGCAATGGTACCCCCAGGCAGGTTGAGGACACATCCATGGGGCTCTGTGGGTACAGGGAGCATCCCAATGGGACCTGCGCAATGGAGGGGACAGCCATGTCCCCAGCAGCACAAGGGACCCCCGGCCCCCAGCCTGGGCCCGTTGAAATGGGGGAGCCCCCGGCACCCCTGGGAGAGCAGGAGGACACTGGAGACCTGGCACCCCGGGCCATGGCACCCCAATGCTCTGCCAACGCGCTCTGCTTTGTCACCCTGTGTCACCCTATGTGGCCCTATGTCACACTATTTAACCCTATGTAACCCTATGTGACCCTATGTCACTCTATGTCACCCTATGTAACCCTATGTCACCCTATGTCACCCTATGTAACCCTATTTCACCCTGTGTCACCCTATGTAACCCCATGTCACCCAATGTCACCCTATGTAGCCCTATGTAACCCTATGTAACCCTATGTCACACTATCTAACCCTATGTCACACTATGTAACCCCATGTCACCTTATGTAACCCTATGTCACCCCATGTCACCCTGTGTCACTCTATGTCACCCTATGTCACCCTGTGTCACTCTGTCACCCTGTCTCACCCTGTGTCACCCTGTGTCACCCTATGTCATCCTATATCACCCTATGTCACCCTGTGTCACTCTATGTCACCCTGTGTCACCCTATGTCACCCTGTCTCACCCTGTGTCACCCTGTGTCACCCCGTGCTGCCAACGCCGCTGCTCTCTGCTCTCTCACTCTCCCCCAGGCCAGTAGCTCCCATCCTCCTTGGAGCAGGCCCGGCCGGAGGCCCTGGGCACCCTCTGAAGCCTTCATCGGGCCAGGTAACCTCTTCCTCCTCCCTCCTGCATGAGCTGGGGCTCCCCATGGCTGCGGGCATGGAGCAACGGGGGCTGCAGGGCATGGAGAGGTCCTTGGGGCACCCCCAGGCCAAGGGTGGACGTGGAGAGTGTCTTGGGTTGAGGGACACCATGGAGAGCATCTTGGGTTGAGGGACACCATGGAGAGCATCTTGGGTTGAGGGACACCATGGAGAGCATCTTGGGTTGAGGGACACCATGGAGAGCATCTTGGGTTGAGGAGGACACCATGGAGAGCATCTTGGGTTGAGGGACACCATGGAGAGTCTTGGGTTGAGGCCATGGAGAGCATCTTGGGTTGAGGGACACCATGGAGAGCATCTTGGGTTGAGGGACACCATGGAGAGCATCTTGGGTTGAGGGACACCATGGAGAGCATCTTGGGTTGAGGGACACCATGGAGAGCATCTTGGGTTGAGGGACACCATGGAGAGCATCTTGGGTTGAGGGACACCATGGAGAGCATCTTGGGTTGAGGGACACCATGGAGAGCATCTTGGGTTGAGGGATACCATGGAGAGCATCTTGGGTTGAGGGACACCATGGAGAGCATCTTGGGTTGAGGGATACCATGGAGAGCATCTTGGGTTGAGGGACACCATGGAGAGCATCTTGGGTTGAGGGACACCATGGAGAGCATCTTGGGTTGAGAGAGAGACCATGGAGAGCATCTTGGGTTGAGGGATACCATGGAGAGCATCTTGGGTTGAGAGAGACCATGGAGAAGAGACCATGGAGAGCATCTTGGGTTGAGAGACACCATGGAGAGCATCTTGGGTTGAGAGAGAGACCATGGAGAGCATCTTGGGTTGAGGGATACCATGGAGAGCATCTTGGGTTGAGAGAGACCATGGAGAGCATCTTGGGTTGAGGGTAGCATGGGGTTTGGGTTGGGGTGCCATGGAGAGCATCTTGGGTTGAGAGACACCATGGAGAGCATCTTGGGTTGAGAGGTAGCCATGGAGAGCATCTTGGGTTGAGAGACACCATGGAGAGCATCTTGCATTGAGAGGTAGCCATGGAGAGCATCTTGGGTTGAGAGATAACCATGGAGAGCATCTTGGGTTGAGAGACACCATGGAGAGCATCTTGGGTTGAGGGACACCATGGAGAGCATCTTGGGTTGAGGGACACCATGGAGAGCATCTTGGGTTGAGGGACACCATGGAGAGCATCTTGGGTTGAGAGACACCATGGAGAGCATCTTGGGTTGAGGGACACCATGGAGAGCATCTTGGGTTGAGGAATGGAGAGATCTTGGGTTGAGGGACACCATGGAGAGCATCTTGGGTTGAGGGACACCATGGAGAGCATCTTGGGTTGAGGACACCATGGAGAGCATCTTGGGTTGAGGGAACATGGAGAGCATCTTGGGTTGAGGGACACCATGGAGAGCATCTTGGGTTGAGAGAAACCATGGAGAGCATCTTGGGTTGAGGGACACCATGGAGAGCATCTTGGGTTGAGGGAAACCATGGAGAGCATCTTGGGTTGAGAGACACCATGGAGAGCATCTTGGGTTGAGATAGACCATGAAGAGCATCTTGGGTTGAGCGATAACCATGGAGAGCATCTTGGGTTGAGGGACACCATGGAGAGCATCTTGGGTTGAGGGACACCATTGAGAGCATCTTGGGTTGAGAGAGACCATGGAGAGCATCTTGGGTTGAGGAACCATGGAGAGCATCTTGGGTTGAGGGACACCATGGAGAGCATCTTGGGTTGAGGGACACCATGGAGAGCATCTTGGGTTGAGAGAGACCATGGAGAGCATCTTGGGTTGAGGAACACCATGGAGAGCATCTTGGGTTGAGGGACACCATGGAGAGCATCTTGGGTTGAGGGACACCATGGAGAGCATCTTGGGTTGAGGGACACCATGGAGAGCATCTTGGGTTGAGGGACACCATGGAGAGCATCTTGGGTTGAGGGACACCATGGAGAGCATCTTGGGTTGAGGGACACCATGGAGAGCATCTTGGGTTGAGTTTGGGTTGAGGGATACCATGGAGAGCATCTTGGGTTGAGGGACACCATGGAGAGCATCTTGGGTTGAGGGACACCATGGAGAGCATCTTGCATTGAGAGGTAGCCATGGAGAGCATCTTGGGTTGAGGGACACCATGGAGAGCATCTTGGGTTGAGGGACACCATGGAGAGCATCTTGGGTTGAGGGAGACCATGGAGAGCATCTTGGGTTGAGGGACACCATGGAGAGCATCTTGGGTTGAGGGACACCATGGAGAGCATCTTGTTGAGAGGTAGCCATGGAGAGCATCTTGGGTTGAGGGACACCATGGAGAGCATCTTGGGTTGAGGGACACCATGGAGAGCATCTTGGGGTGAGGGACACCATGGAGAGCATCTTGGGTTGAGGGACACCATGGAGAGCATCTTGGGTTGAGGGACACCATGGAGAGCATCTTGGGTTGAGAGAGACCATGGAGAGCATCTTGGGTTGAGGGACACCATGGAGAGCATCTTGGGTTGAGGGACACCATGGAGAGCATCTTGGGTTGAGAGAGACCATGGAGAGCATCTTGGGGTGAGGGACACCATGGAGAGCATCTTGGGTTGAGGGACACCATGGAGAGCATCTTGGGTTGAGGGACACCATGGAGAGCATTTGGGTTGAGGGAACCATGGAGAGCATCTTGGGTTGAGGGACACCATGGAGAGCATCTTGGGTTGAGAGAGACCATGGAGAGCATCTTGGGTTGAGGGACACCATGGAGAGCATCTTGGGTTGAGGGACACCATGGAGAGCATCTTGGGTTGAGAGACACCATGGAGAGCATCTTGGGTTGAGGGACACCATGGAGAGCATCTTGGGTTGAGAGATACCATGGAGAGCATCTTGGGTTGAGGGACACCATGGAGAGCATCTTGGGTTGAGGGACACCATGGAGAGCATCTTGGGTTGAGGGACACCATGGAGAGCATCTTGGGTTGAGGGACACCATGGAGAGCATCTTGGGTTGAGGGACACCATGGAGAGCATCTTGGGTTGAGGGACACCATGGAGAGCATCTTGGGTTGAGAGAGACCATGGAGAGCATCTTGGGTTGAGGGACACCATGGAGAGCATCTTGGGTTGAGGGACACCATGGAGAGCATCTTGGGTTGAGAGAGACCATGGAGAGCATCTTGGGTTGAGAGAGAGACCATGGAGAGCATCTTGGGTTGAGGGACACCATGGAGAGCATCTTGGGTTGAGGGACACCGTGGAGAGCATCTTGGGTTGAGGGACACCATGGAGAGCATCTTGGGTTGAGGGACACCATGGAGAGCATCTTGGGTTGAGGGACACCATGGAGAGCATCTTGGGTTGAGGGACACCATGGAGAGTGTCTTGGGTTGAGGGACACCATGGAGAGCATCTTGGGTTGAGAGATATGGGGTTTGGGTTGGGGTTGGGGTTTGGGTTGGGGGTGGGGTTTGGGTTGGGTGGGGTTTGGGTTGGGGTGGGGCATCTTGGGTTGAGGGATACCATGGAGAGCATCTTGGGTTGAGGGACACTATGGAGAGCATCTTGGGTTGGGGGACACCATGGAGAGCATCTTGGGTTGAGGAACACCATGGAGAGCATCTTGGGTTGAGGGACACCATGGAGAGCATCTTGGGTTGAGGAACACCATGGAGAGCATCTTGGGTTGAGGGACACCATGGAGCCCTTTTCAAACCGAGGGAAACCCATGGAGACCCCTTGAACTAGGGGAGACCCTTTTGGGCCAAGGGAAAGCATGGAGCCCTTCTCAAGCTCCCCTTGTGTTGGGATAGACACCCATGGAGCTCCCCTTGGATTGGGATAGACACCCATGGAGCTCCCCTTGGACTGGGATAGACACCCATGGAGCTCCCCTTGGACTGGGATAGGCACCCATGGAGCCCCATTGGACTGGGATAGACACCCATGGAGCCCCATTGGACTGGGATAGACACCCATGGAGCCCCATTGGACTGGGATAGACACCCATGGAGCCCCTTTGGACTGGGATAGACACCCATGGAGCCCCATTGGACTGGGATAGACACCCATGGAGCCCCATTGGACTGGGATAGACACCCATGGAGCCCCTTTGGACTGGGATAGACACCCATGGAGCCCCATTGGACTGGGATAGACACCCATGGAGCCCCCATTGGATTGAGATAGACACCCATGGAGCCCCATTGGATGGGATAGACACCCATGGAGCCCCATTGGCCTGGGATAGACACCCATGGAGCCCCATTGGACTGGGATAGACACCCATGGAGCCCCATTGACATAGACCCATGGAGCCCCATTGGACTGGGATAGACACCCATGGAGCCCCCATTGGATTGAGATAGACACCCATGGAGCCCCATTGGACTGGGATAGACACCCATGGAGCCCCATTGGACTGGGATAGACACCCATGGAGCTCCCATTGGACTGGGATAGACACCCATGGAGCCCCATTGGACTGGGATAGACACCCATGGAGCCCCCATTGGACTGGGATAGACACCCATGGAGCCCCATTGGACTGGGATAGACACCCATGGAGCCCCTTTGGACTGGGATAGACACCCATGGAGCCCCTTTGGCCGCAGGGACCCCCCATGCCCCCCATGCCCAGTGCCCCCCATGCCTGCTCACCCATTGGGGGGGCATCTGATGCCCCCCTTGCCCCCCCACCCCCCCCCCGCTGTGCTTTGCAGGGTCACACCTCGGGGTGCCAAGGCCGGGTGCCAGCAGGGGGGTCCCTGTGTGTGTCCCCCATCCCCATGGGGGAATCCCTACACAATTACCCCCATTTGGGGGGCAGGAGCCCCCTCCCATTGGGTGGCTTTTGGGGGTCCCATTGACACCTCTCCCCTTTCCCCCCACAGAGGCAGAGCCCGGCTCCGGTGCTGCCCCCCCCCGGAACAAGCGTGGCCGTGGCCGCCGCCCCCCGTACCCCATCGTGACCCCCCCCCAGCGGCCCCCCCATGGCCACCACTGACACAGCCATTGGGGGGGGGCACCCACTGTCACTCCCCCCCCCCCCCATTGCCGTGCTCTATGGGGGGGGGCAGATTTGGGGTGTCCCCCCCTTCCATTGCCCCTTCTTGGTGCTAGCTGGTGGCACGGCACCAGCCCCCCCCCAATGCTTTGCTTGCCCCCACCCCCCCAGGATGGGGTCACAAAGGGGTGAATGGGGACCCCCCTTGTTCATTTTATACCCCCACCCCAATGGGCAGCTCGGGGGGGGGGTGTTGGGATTATTCCTTCCCGTGCCCCCCCCATGGTGAGCCCCGGCTCTGGGGGGTGACAGTGGGGCCCCCCCCACCCTGAGCTTCATCCCCCTGCTATGGGACCCCCAGGTCATTAAACGCTGCCTGAAGCCGTGGCCATGAGCTCAGTGCCATGGGGTGAAGGGGACCCATGGGTGCTCTGCGGATGGGGGGGGGGGGGGGTCCCATGGGTGGCACTGGGAGACACTGGAGGGGGGAACTGGGGGGCAATGGGGAGGTGCTGGGCTGCAATGGGGTAATGGGAGCACTGGGTGGCACTGGGGATAATGGGGGTAAAGGGGCACTGAGGGGCACTGGGAGGCACTGGGCGGCAATGGGGGTAATGGGAGCACTGGGGGCACTGGGGATAATGGGGTAAAGGGGCACTGGGTGGCACTGGGAGGCACTGTGTGGCAATGGGGGTAATGGGAGCACTGGGGGCATTGGGAGCACTGGGGGCATTGGGAGCACTGGGGGCACTGGGGGCACTGGGAGCACTGGGGGCACTGGGGGCCTGGGAGCACTGGGGGCACTGGGGGTAATGGGAGCAATGGGGGCACTGGGGGCACTGGGAGCACTGGGGGGCAATGGGGGCAATGGGGGCAATGGGGGCAATGGGAGCACTGGGGGGCACTGGGGGCAATGGGGGGCACTGGGGGCACTGGGGGCACTGGGTGGCAATGGGGGGTAATGGGCAGCAATGGGGGCAATGGGAGCACTGAGCGGCACTGGGCAACAATGGGGGGCACTGGGGGTAATGGGAGCACTGGGGAGCACTGGGCAGCAATGGGGGGCACTGGGGGTAATGGGAGCACTGGGTACTGGCAATGGAGGACACTGGGCGGCAATGGGGGTAATGGGAGCACTGGGGGGCACTGGGCAACAATGGGGGGCACTGGGGGTAATGGGAGCACTGGGTAGCAATGGGGGACACTGGGCGGCAATGAGGATAATGGGAACACTGGGGAGCATTGGGCAGCAATGGGGGGCACTGTGCGGCAATGGGGATTAATGGGAGCGCGGGGGGCACTGGGGGGTAATGGGCAGCAATGGGGGCAATGGGAGCACTGGGGGGCACTGGGCAGCAATGGGGGGCACTGGGGTAATGGGAGCACTGGGGGCCACTGGGAAACAATGGGGGGCACTGGGGGTAATGGGAGCACTGTATAGCAATGGAGGACACTGGACGGCAATCAGGGTAATGGGAGCACTGGGGAGCATTGGGCAGCAATGGGGGGCACTGGGAGCACTGGGAGGGCGCTAGGGGTGGCACTGGGGGCACTGCTGACGTCACTCGCAGCCCGTGACGCCACTCGCTGGTGCGTGACGTCAGGAGGACCCCGCGATGACGTCACGCCACCGCCGCTCCGCCCCCCGCGCTCCGCCGCCCGGCCAGAACGGCTCTTGCACGACGGTCCCTAACGGCTGGGGGCTGTACCATTCCTCTGCGCTGCGAGGGGGGGTTGTGGAAGAGCACCCAACGCAGCGGTAGAACCGCGGTCCCGGGCACCCATCGCTGCACACCCGGTTCTCCGCGGAGAATCCGGGTGCTCGGCTCCGAGCCCTCGGTGCTCGGCCTCACGCAGCTTTATCCCCGGTTCATTCCCGTCCCCCCCCCGAGCTTTGCCGTGGTACGTGCCAGGGGCTGGCCCGCGCCTGCGCAGCGCGGGGCGGCGGCGGCCGGACGTTGGGAGCGCGGAGGAGGAGGAAGGCGACAAAATGGCGTCGACGGGTGAGCGGGGCCGGGCTGGGCCGGGCTAGGGGGGCCGAGCGCAGGGCCCGGCCTCAGCGCTGCCGGGGTGGGGGTGAGCAGGGTCCTGTCGCAGCCAGCCCTGGTTGCCGCGGTGCGGAGCCTGCGTTACCCCTCGTTAAGGGGCCGTTAAATGCTCATTAAGAGGCCTGGGGGGGGAGTTTGTGTGCTCTGCGCCGTGTGGGGCTGCTGGGAACGGGTCCGGGTGCCTGTGGGGAGAAGCGCGGAGCATCGGGGGAGGAGCGGTGCAGAGCGCTCGGAGCGGAGGCTCAGTACGGTTTAAAGCGCGGGACGCAAGGCTGGGCTGCTCCATAAGGAATACATCCCGAGTGTGAAGGAATGGGCTCGGTTATGGCTGGGGTCAGAGGGGATGACCCACGCTCCGGATCAGATGGGGGGAATGGGGGTTGTGAACCCCGCTCTGGTGCACGGGAACGGGCTGCCCCGGAGCTGCCGTGCCCATTGTGCTCCTGAGCCTCGTGGAACGGCAGGAGGAGGATTCGGTTTCCCATTGGAAATGAAGGCTCGGAGGGGGCTGAGAGAGGAACAGTGCTGAGTTATGGATGTGTGGAGCAGGTCGGGTTTGAGCCTTCCCGAGGGAGGAGGCCGTGTTTGGGTCGGGCTGGGGAAGGCTCTAAGGGGGAATGTGTTCAGTTCTGGGCCCCTCAGTTCATGAGAGACACTGAGGGGCTGGAGCGGGGCCAGAGAAGGGCAATAGAGCTGGTGCAGGGCCTGGAGCCCAAGTGTGATGGGGAAGGGCTGAGGGACCTGGGGGGTTCAGATGGAGAAGAGAAGGCTCAGGGGGACCTGATGGCTGCCTCCAACTGCCTGACAGGAGGATGGAGCCGGGAGGGGCTGGGCTCTGCTCCCAAGGAACAAGGGATGGGACAAGAGGAACCGGCCTCAAGCTGCACCAGGGCAGGTTTAGATGGAGCTGAGGAACAATTCCTGCCCCAGAGGGTGCTCAGGCATTGGAACAGGCTGCCCAGGGCAGGGCTGCAGGCACTGTCCCTGCAAGTGTTCACACCCCGTGGAGACGAGGCCTCAGTGCCATGGGGCAGTGGTGGCCTTGGCAGTGCTGGGGTAAGGGTTGGACTGGATGAGCTTAAAGGGCTTTTCCAGCCTGGTTCTATGGGTGCTGAGTTGCAGACCCAAGCAGAGGGGTTGGGTGGTTGGGGTCTGTAGCAGGGGAGGTCCATGCTCAGCAGCCTCCTGTGTTCTTAAGAGCTTGGAGGGCTCCGGTAACCCAGTGGGGTGCAGAAAGTGGGGGTTCAATGGGAACTACAGAGGTTGTGGTGGCTGGAGGGGGGACAGGGAAGGCAGGGGGACATGGAGGGGCGTGTGTGAAGGGGAATCTTGAGTATTTATGGGAATGGCTTGAACCTGCCCGAGGGGAGACTGAGCTGAGCTCTTAGGCAGAAGCTCTTCCCTGTGAGGGTGCTGAGGCGCTGGCACAGGGTGCCCAGAGAAGCTGTGGCTGCCCCATCCCTGGCAGTGCTCAAGGCCAGGTTGGACACAGGGGCTTGGAGCAAGCTGCTCCAGTGGAAGGGGTCCCTGCCCGTGGCAGGGGTTGGAGCTGGAGACATTCAAGCTCCCTTCCAACCCAAACCATTCCTTGATGCTGTGAATGGGTTTTAGCACTCGGGGTTGAGCAGAGCAAAGTGCTCTGTGTAGGCTGAAAGAAAACAGAGCAAAGAGCAGCCCCCCCGAGCTCCAGCAGTGTTTTAGTGCTCAACGTGACAGCCTGCAGGGGAAGCAGTGATAGTACCAGCGGAGTGCAGCACCTTGTGCTGTGCCTTTGGCAGCGAGGAATCCTTCAGCTCGGTGCTGGGTTGTTGTGGGGGGGGGTGGTTTGGGAGCTTCCTTGTGCTCTGGTGTGGATCCCTGCGCTCTGGTGTAAGGGCAGAGTGAGTTAGACCTGTCCAAAATGACCACCAGAGCCTGGGTCCCTATTGCCTTGTCCCAGCAGCAGCAAGGGAGGGGGGAAGGAGGGAAGCACACATGGAGGGTGAGGAGGAGAAGCTTTGTTAGGGATGGGTCCTCAGAACCAGGAGGTCCTGGTGTGTGAAACCAGGATGGTCATAGGGATTCCTGGTGCTCTGTCAGCCTGGGGGCTGTGGAGGCTGTAGGAAGCCATCAAGGGCTCCTCACATTCCTAAGGGGGATCAGTGCACCCCGAGGGGTGATTGTGGTGGAGACACCAAATCCCTTCCCCTGTCCCTGCCTGAGGAAGGCTCCAACATCCTCCTTCTGCTCCAGCTCCATCATGGCCTGAGCACCAAATGCGAGTGAGGTCTGGGTTCATTCCTGATCCCCCTCCTCCGGAGCTCTGTGGTCCTGGGAGAGCTGGAATGGTCTGGATTCATCCCTGGCTGTAGTTGTTGGTGACCTGGAGGGGAAATGTACTTACAGGAGCTGTCATCGTGGCAAACACAGCCTTGTAACTGCTGTGTGCCCACATTTTTCATTCCCACCAGCAAAGCACTTGGGCAGAGGTGATTCTGCTTGGAATATTCAGCAGGATACAGGGCTCAGGGGAAGGAATTCCAGGGAGAAGTGCTACAACTTCCCAGCCATTTGCTGGTGTCGTTGGAAGCCCAACGTGGTGCTTCCTCCATCCCCAGAGCCTGCAACCTGGGGCCCTTTGAACCCAGGAGAGGGGGTTGTGTCAACCCATGGCCTTTCCTTTGTTCCAAAGGGAAGCACCCTCCTACCCCCTCCCCCTGCTTTGGGTGCCATCCAGGGTGGCAGTTAAACTACAGCAGGGTCATTTGAGATCAAAGTTGCTGCTGCAAACAGCACTTCACAATGGAGGGAAGAGAGGTTTTGTTGCTTCCCAAAGGGCTGCATTTACCTTGCCCTCTGTGGCAAGCGGCTTTCCAGGTTTATAGCAGCTCTATCCAAGCTGCAGGAGGGAATTCCAGCTGCTGTGCTCTTAATGCTGCTCATTTTCAGCCTTTGTCAAGCTTTTTATTCCCCTTTCTTTTTTTCTCTTGTAGATTATAGCACCTATAGCCAAGCTGCAGCCCAGCAGGGGTGAGTAGCATTCCAGTCTTCTTTGCTTGCAAATGACGGGCTATAAGCATGTAATAATTGCAGTATAGGCTTAACTCAGGTGTGTTTGTCGATCCTTTAGCTCTTAGCTTCCTAATATTTCAGCAGAAACCAGTGGGATAGATGGAAATCGCCTTGGGATGTGTTTTGCATGGCTCAGAAATGATGTCTCTCAATTGATTTTACAGCTACAGCGCGTACGCACCGCAGCCGGCTCAAGGCTACGCACAGAGCACCCAGGTAAAGCATGGGAGGGTTTGTAAGGGCTCTGAGCCATCCTTCTGCCTGTAACCTCCATGGAAACAGCGACATCTGCCAGGAGAAGCTGGCTTGTTGCTTTGCAAAGTGCTTCCTTAGGATGAAAACACCCTGAGCATCAGAGCCTCAGCAGTCCCCTCTGTGTTCATACAGCCTAAGGGGGTTGTGGAGGGGATAGGAAAGCCTCATTCTCTGTGTGTGTAATGCAGCACTCGGTGTAGGAGAGAAGAGCCTACAGAAAAGGGGGAAATGCCATTTGGGACATTGCAGGAGGAGGAAGGGATAGATTGTTCTTGCAGTAGGGTGGGAAAGCCCTGTGCCAAAACCAGGCAGGAGAACATTTGGGTCAGCTTAAACAAAGCGGACAGCAGCTTTTACTTTGAGTGAGTATTTTGAGGCAGAACCATTGCCACCAGTTGTGGGTTACACAGGAGAAGCGTAGCAGAGTGGTAAATGTAGGAGCAGAAGGTTTCAACTCCATCCTCTAGTGGGAGACTAACCCAGCTAAACTCAGCTGTAGACAGATCCTGTGGGAGGTTCCCAGTGTCTCCTGCCTCTGGGTGACAAGAGCTTCCACAGGCAGTGACATGCTCCATCTGATCAGTGCTTTCTACTCTTTGAGTTGAGGGAGTAACACAGGCTTAGGTTCCAAAAGGCCTTTCAGTTCCTGGCTCCTACAGGAGTTGGGAAATCCCTTTGGGAATGTGGGTGGTAAGGCTGTTTCAGCGTCACTTCTTGAGCTAGAACTAGAGTTTTACCCTAAACCAAGCTGCTGGCAGCACAAAGCTCTTGGAAGTTGGCTGGTCCGTGGCATGGGGCTGAGGTAGCTCTGGAGCTGCTAAAACTGCAGCACCAGCAGCTCTGTGCTGATCCAATGGGAATCCTGTGGCTGAAGCCATCCTCCAGAGCTGACTCTCACTGAGTTAAAAGGCATCAGGGTGGGAGCAGCGATCACAGGGATGGTTTGGTGATGGCAAGGCCTTGGGTGCTCCCACTGTTCCCATCCTTGGGTCCCAATGTAAACTCCTGTTTTCCAAGCTATCAGCTGATGGACATGAAGAACACTCAGAACAACCTCCCTGAAACCTTAAAGAGGTTTCACTGAAGGGGTTTGACACTGAGGTGACTTGTTTTACCCCCTGCAGTTCTGCCCCCTGAGTAGTGCCATGTTTCAGTTCAGCTCTGGGAGGTACCTGTGAGTACTGATGGGTGCCCAAGCAGTTGGGAAGAGCTGAGTGCTTTCATGCTTTAGATAGAGCAGAGATGAGTTGGGACAATAGCAAAGGCTCCCCTCTGCTCGTGGCCTTGGGAAGCTGCCTTTGTAACCCCATTGCCCAAGCTTTCCTCAGTAACCTTGGCTTGGCTCTGGTCGCTGTCAGTACCTCAGGTAACACATCCCCAGGTCTGGGTGCATCTCTGCATCACCAGTGGGTCTCTTGTGGTGAGGAGTTAACTGTGTGTCATCTCCGGAGCAGACCTACGGGCAGCAGAGCTATGGAACCTACGGACAGCCCACGGATGTCAGCTACTCCCAGCCCCAGACGACCGCGACGTATGGGCAGACGGCCTACGCCACGTCCTATGGGCAGCCCCCCACCGGTAAGAGCCCCCCACTGCCTGCAGGGCTTGGCCTAACACTGAGCACAGAGTAGAGCTCACGTCTGCATTGGGGAGCTCCAAAACCATGCTCTGCTGTGGTAAGAGCTTCCATCCTCGAGCCCACCTTGAGCCAAGGGCACTCTGCAGTGATGTGAAGGTGGATGGTGCCTGGGTTTGGGTGCTGGAACTAAGCTGGATCCAATCCTAGCTGCAGAGTGCCGTGCTTAGAGCAAAACAGGCACAAGCTGTGCTCCCCTGGAGTGTGGGCTCTTGGGAACCAGTGGCCTCAGTGCTTGGGTTGGTAAAAAGCCCATCGGTGGATGTGGTGGGAGCCTGTTCTGGTAGCGTCACCCTCTGCTCTCTGTCCTGTGCTTCCCACACTGGAAGGGACCAGGACAGGTCTGGCTGTCCTGCTCACTCTTGCATGGGAAATGCTGTTTAATCCTGTGTGTAAACGTATGGGGTTAACCCTTTAGTGCCACTTGGATTTCCAGTGCAGCTACATGTTGATAGGACAAAGGGTTCAGAAACCAGGGGAGATTTAGGTTGGATCTTAGGCAGAAGCTCTTCCCTGTGAGGGTGCTGAGGCGCTGGCACAGGGTGCCCAGAGAAGCTGTGGCTGCCCCATCCCTGGCAGTGCTCAAGGCCAGGTTGGACACAGGGGCTTGGAGCAAGCTGCTCCAGTGGAAGGGGTCCCTGCCTGTGGCAGGGGTTGGAACTGGAGGAGCTTTAAGGTCCCTTCCAACCCAAACCAGGCTGGGATTCCATGACTCCCCTCCCGGAGATCCCAGCTTAACAAATACACTCTTAAGGGTCAAGGCAAAGCAGCAGCAGTGCAGCTTCCTGGGAGCCCTGCAGGACTGGAGGCTGCAGTAAGGATTAAAGGGCTCAAACATTCCTAAGAAAGGAATTTTGGAAATCTATAAATCCTTTCTGCTGCCAGTTTTATGTTCATATCCTTTTAAAAGAAAGGAAAAATCCCCTGGAGATGACCCACAGAGCTGCTGGCAGGAGGGTTCCAGCTCCCCTTCAGGAAGTTTTCCTTATCCATGCAAAGACCTTAACTGTTTTCAGTGCTGTCTCACTGACACTACAAATTAACACTTCCTCTTCACTTCTTCCTTGTGAAGCATCCTCAGTGGCTTCTCTGGCCAGATACCCCACTACCTGTCCCAGTATTCCCTTGCTTTGGGAAGCATTTAAGATAGCTCTGGCTCTAACAGACACTTATAATGTCCCACAGCAAAGGCTGAACCGACAGCAAACAGCACCCAAGGGGTTACTTACAGGAAACTGGGATTTCTTCCTCAATTTGGACTATTGGAATATTCAGTCCAAATCTACCAGAATGGAGCCATGGCTCAGTAGCTCCTTTCAGGCATTAAGGCACTCATATGTACAAAACTCCAGTCTGGAATAGTTTGCAGTACAGTAACCAACACAGAAACATGGGATTACAGAATGGTTTGGGTTGAAGGGACCTTAAAGCTCCTCCAGCTCCAACCCCTGCCATGAGCAGGGGCACCTTCCACTGGAGCAGCTTGCTCCAAGCCCCTGTGTCCAACCTGGCCTTGAACACTGCCAGGGATGGGGCAGCCACAGCTTCTCTGTTGATCCAGAATGAGCACGAGGTTGGGTTTATTCCTCCTACCCCTTCCTCTCCTTGAGGAGCCCGAGCTGTGCAAGCACTGATGGTGCTCAGAGCCTTCCTCCCTCACTGGTCTCTGCCTTTCATGCTAAATCCAGCCTGAAGCGTTGCCTGGGGCGTACACCATGCCCTCAGGGACATGCCATTTTTCCACTTGAATCCCAATGTACTTTTCCTGAGCATTGCCTCTCTGTAGCAGAGGGAAGGCTGCAGTGACTCCAAAGCAGAGTGCCTTTTCCTGTCTCAACAGCCTATTTTGGGGTAAGATGCTGTTGTGGTCAGGGCAATTCAAACCCTGGGCACATCCACCCCAGTGCTGCCATCCAGCCTTGGGCTCCTCCTGCGCTGCCCAAGGGGTAGTTACCACCCAGGTCATGCTGCTTCCTCCCTGGGGCTATAGGAGAAGGTGTCTTGGAGTCACCCCATCCTTTGGTATGGAGAAGAGGGGTTCAGGAGCCTACTAGATTGGGGGGTTTATGGGCACCATCAGATCTGTGATCATGGGTTGCTCTTTAGGCAATGTGGTTTATCAACAGGAATTCAGGAGTAAAGGAAGAGCTGCATGGTTTAGGGTTGTTGGCTTTCTAAGCACGTTGTTTGAGGGCAAAGACATCACTTCAGGTGTTCAAATAGGGGTCTCCTTTAAGTCTCATCGCTCCCCAGCCCCTCACTGGCACAAGCTCTGAGCCACACAGGACCAGCTCTTCAAGCACAGCCCTTGTGGGTACCTTTTCCTGCTGCTTCCATCAGAGGGAAGCCTTCAGAAGGTGAAGCCTGCTCACCTCTCTGGATGCAGCATTTCCAGTTGATGTTCCCTGAGGACCAAGTCCTGCAAGCTTCCCCTCCTCCTGAAGGATTCCTAGGCTTTGATAAGGGTGTTCCTTGCAGGCTTGGATACTTTGAGTGGAAATGAGCCATGTAGCTGGAGGTCTGAAGCTGGTTATCCCAGTTCTTCTTCCCTACGGACTCCCCATTTCACTTGCTACCTGGTAGAGGGAGCAGAGAGAAGTGGTGTCATGTAAATGCCCCCTCAAAAACACACCTCTTGAGGGTTTCCATTGTAGCCAAGCTCAGTGTTGAATGCAGATGCAGCCCGGCAGGGTGGAAAACCACTCACTGCCTGTCCTCTGGTACAAACCCTTCCCTCTGGGCACAACCACACAGAGGGAAAGCTCCATCTAGAGCTGAAGCATTTGAAGTCAGGATTCTTCCAAGTGGTTCCAAACCTCCTTTGCTCCATGGGAGAGGTTAGTGCTGTCCCTACCAGTGATGAGAATAGGGCTTAGGCATGGGGGGACCACCCTAAGGCTCCAGGTCTGGGCAGGGCTGTGGCTCCAGCAGCACTTATGCAGGCTGTACTTAGGCAAACAAGAGGCTTTTTTAGCCTGTGGTCAGGCTGCAGCCACGTAAAAGAAGGATTCATTTAGCATCTGGTGTCAGTCAGCTCTGATGGAGCGCTGTGGTGGCTCACAGTGAAGTGTTTGGGCTGCTTCAGTTTGTCCAGGGCTCCAAATCACACTCATACTGTCCTTCTCAGCAGCACCCTGTTGAGCAACACTCGGAACAGGACTTTGCTGCTCAGAGAACCCCTCAGCAGAAGGGAACACTGACACTGAAACAGGCTGATAGTGGGTCCTGTACGTTGTTTCCCAGTGGCAGACCAGTTTGATGGGTCCAGGTTGGCTGCTCTGTGATGTGGAATCCAGCCCATGGTGTCCAGCAGGAGGCTGGTGCTGTGAGGAGCGTGGCGGGGGCTGGTTTTAAGCTGGTTACTGCAGGGGGCAGGATTGTGTCCCCTTGGAGCTCCCCTTTTCCATAACCAGGAAGCTCAGGAGCAGCACTATGGGACAGAAAGCTGATGGTTGGGGTTTCTCTAATGCAAACTTCCTCCTCTCACTTCCCTTCCTCTTCCCTGGGGATTCTGAGTCCCTTTGGGGATGCCTCTGGGTTTGCAGCAGGGCACTGAGATGTGGAAGTCCTACGGGGCTTCCTGAGGGGACTGTGTATTCTTGAGCTCCATTTGCTTTGCAAATGAGGGAATTGAGATGGAAACCACAGCCCAATGTGCCTGAAATGCTGTAGAAGAGGAGGAGCCTGGCACACGTGTCCCATGTCTCTTAAAGCCAAGGGGAGAAGCTGTTACCTCAGTTGGACCTTAAGGCCCCATCATAAGCCCCAGGGACTGGGCTGCTCTTTGGCAATCGATCCGTGTTTGTAGTAAGTCAGCTTTTTCAGAGGATATTTGATTGTTATTTTGACATCAGTTATTAATATTGATTATTATGGAGTTGATTTTTCCCTTGGAAGCCTCCCTTTCATAGCTCGAAAACCCACCTGCAAGGTTCTGGACCATCAGAAGGCACCGTGTTCATTGACAGGTCACCCTGGTGCCAAGCCAGATGCGACTACACAGTGCTGGAAACACTCGTTTAAATGGAGCTGCTTTGGGATCTTGGATGTTGTAAAATTAGTCTGAAATAAAGGCAGGAGCTCAAAGGTTTTTACCTAAACCAATACTGAGAGAAGTGAAGGCACATAAACCAGTGGGTGATCTTTTTAGACCTTTGTCTTAAGTTAAAGCAAATGTAAGTTGTTGTCTTTTGTTTGCAGAGTAAATATGACTTCCTGAATGCCTCACAAAGGCTTTCTCAAGCCAGGCTGGTGCTATTTTATGCTTCTGGTTCTCAAATAAAGCCAAAAGGATGGGACCACACTAAACTCTTACTTCAGATCTTTGTTACAGTAGCTGTGGGCTTTGGTAGCTGTGAGCCAGGGTTGGATGCTGATTGAAGGCTGGCTCCTGGGAGCATGGCTTTGGGTGGTGAGGGTACTGCTGGGGCTGGATGAGGCTTCCCAGGGCAGGGGGGCTCTGCAAGGGGAGCTGTGGGTCAGCTCATCTGTGATGCTCCTGCAGCAGTGAGATCAGTGCTGGACCAAGGTGTGATGAGCCCTCAGCAGAAGCTCGGTGGTTTGAAGGTCTCCAACCTGATGTGAGCGTTGGGCTCTTGTCTGTTGCAGGTTACAGCACCCCGACTGCCCCCCCAGCATACAGCCAGCCCGTGCAGGGGTACGGCACAGCCCCCTACGACACCAACACCGCGACGGTTACAACCACCCAGGCTTCCTATGCAGCACCCTCTGCCTACGGCACCCAGCCCGCGTACCCGGCCTACGGGCAGCAGCCACCAGCGGCTGCTCCCACAAGGTAATACCCATCTCTCCATAGAGTCATGGAGTAACAGAAGGATTTGGATTAGAAGAGACCTTAAAGCTCCTCCAGCTCCAACCCCTGCCACGGGCGGGGACCCCTTCCACTGGAGCAGCTTGCTCCAAGCCCCTGTGTCCAACCTGGCCTTGAGCACTGCCAGGGATGGGGCAGCCACAGCTTCTCTGGGCACCCTGTGCCAGCGCCTCAGCACCCTCACAGGGAAGAGCTTCTGCCTTATCTCCAACCTGAACTTGCCCTGTTTCAGTCTGAACCCATCACCCCTTGTCCTATCACTACAATTCCTGATGAAGTGTCCCTCTCCAGCATCCTTGTAGCCCCCTTCACACACTGGAAGCTGCTCTGAGGTCTCCACACAGCTTCTCTTCTCCAGGCTGAACAGCCCCAATGTTCTCAGCCTGGCTCCATACAGGAGGTGCTGCAGCCCCTGCTCGTCCTCGTGGCCTCCTCTGGCCTTGCTCCAGCAGCTCCATGTCCTTGTGTTGGGGACACCAGAGCTGCACACAGTGCTGCAAGTGGGGTCTTTCCCTTCCTCCCAAGGCTGTCTGCTCTCAGTCACATGCCGCCAGCTGAACCAGGACCTGCTGCTCTTCCCTTCTGTGCCTCTGCTGCAGCTGGAGGGCTGGGGGAAGCAGCGTGGGTCGGTTCTGCTCCTGCACAGTGAGTCAGGGCTGTCACTGGTTGATGAGCAGAGCAGCGCAGCGCAGCAGCAAAAACAGGCTCCTGACTCACAGCATAGGACAGAAAGCAGAGCAGTGTGCTCCCAGCCCAGGGTCAGGCAGGATGCTGCTCCACACTGGGACTGCTGGAGTCATGCACGTACTGCAGGCAGTTTCCTTTTTAAACCTCTTGTGCCTGGGCACTGACAGTGTTGTATTTAGTTGAACTGTTTGCTCAGGATTCAGCCTGCACCATATAAACTCATTTAGTAAGGACTAAAAACCGCTTTAGGCATGTAGCTGATGGCAGCCACTCCAGTTAGCAAAGGTGGAACTTGGCTGGATCTGTCAGATTACACTTGAAGGATCCATCCTAATGTCTAAAATACCTTTTTTTCAGCTTCTACAACTCTTTTTACTCCACTGTTAAACACTCATTACAGGATAGAACAAATACAAAAGGGGACATTCCAGTCACATGCGAAGGGTTCTCTATTTTCAGGCCTTGAGAGTTAATACTAAGCATAGAATGACAGTTTGTGTAGAAAGGGATCTTTAAGGGTCTCCCAGTCCAGCCCGCAGTGTCCTTTTCATGTAATCAGCAATGTGTATGGGGCAGTATCTGCTTGTGCTGGATTCCAGGCCACACAGTGATGATTGACAAGGGCCTGTAGGGACAGGCCAAGGGGAATGGCTTGAACCTGCCCGAGGGGAGACTGAGCTGAGCTCTTAGGCAGAAGCTCTTCCCTGTGAGGGTGCTGAGGCGCTGGCACAGGGTGCCCAGAGAAGCTGTGGCTGCCCCATCCCTGGCAGTGCTCAAGGCCAGGTTGGACACAGGGGCTTGGAGCAAGCTGCTCCAGTGGAAGGGGTCCCTGCCTGTGGCAGGGGCTGGAGCTGGAGGAGCTTTAAGGCCCCTTCAACCCAAACCAGTCTTAGTCTGTGATTGAGCTGACAACGTTTCTGGCTGCTTCTGAGCTCCTCCTTTCTCTCTGCACAGACCCCAGGATGGCAGCAAACCAGCAGACACCAGCCAACCACCATCGAGTACAACCGGCTACAGCCAGCCCAGCCTGGGGTACGGGCAGAGCAACTACAGCTACCCCCAGGTGCCTGCCAGCTACCCCATGCAGCCGGTCACTGCACCACCCTCCTACCCCCCTACCAGGTAACTCAGCAGAGCCTCATGCTGCTGCTGTGCAGATGGGTTAGCTTGGGCAAGAGGGGGTTGAAACAAACCCATGTGGTGGTTTTGGTGTCCTGGGAGTAGGGAGGGGGGTTCTTGTTGGGGCACTTCTTGTTACAGGGAGGATGGTTGAGTGCGTGCATGTCTGTGTACACCTCCAGCAGCAAGGTGAAAAGATGGCAAGCGTTAAGGGATTCCCTGCATAGAGAGCGTGTTACAGCCACCTTCTGCTGCCTCCTTACGCATCCTTTGCCAAGGAGCTTGCACTCCTCCCCTCAGAGTCTGTAGTACTCTGGTGTTGACTCCAGACTGTGTGATTTGAAACCCTCAGCCCCAAGGGCTGGCTTATTGTCCATCACCTGAAGACGTTTCAGTGCCAGGGCAGAAGAGGAGCCTGATACCTGCCTTGTTGCTGATTTTCTTGCCCTGGTGCTTGGGCCTCTTTCTCGAGGCATGACTAAATGGTGACAGGCCACGGGGATCTTGCTTTTAGCAGGTTCCTGTGTTGATTTTGCCTCCTGGCACCAGACTGGCCTCCGCAGGGGGACTTCACCTGTTTAAATGGTTTATAACACCACATATGGCTTGTAATTGCATTACCCTCTGGTGTGAGGCACTCCTGTGGCCTCATGCACAGTGCCAGGGAGTTGGCTCATTGTTGCAATGCTTTTGTCTTCCAGCTATTCCTCCACGCAGCCGAGCGGTTACGATCAGAGCACTTACTCCCAGCAGAGCACCTATGGGCAGCAGAGTACCTATGGACAGCAGACAAGCTATGGCCAGCAAAGCAGCTATGGGCAGCAGCCCCCACCGACCAGTTACCCCCCCCCAAGCGGGTCCTACAGCCAGGCCCCCAGCCAGTACAGCCAGCAGAGCAGCAGTTATGGCCAACAGAGTGAGTGGTCAGGGACGAGAGGGTCTCTTCTTGCCTTTTTAGTTTGGGTCTCAGGCTTGGAGCTGCATTGAAGGGAAAAACCCCAACACAAAGAGGGATGTGGAGCTGTTGGAGTGAGGCCAGAGGAGGCCATGGGGATGCTGCGAGGGCTGGAGCAGCTCTGCTCTGGAGCCAGGCTGAGAGAGCTGGGCTGGGGCAGCCTGGAGAAGAGAAGGCTCCTGAAGGGGAGACCTTAGAGCAGCGCCAGTGCCTAAAGGGGCTGCAGGAAAGCTGGAGAGGGGCTTGGGACAAGGGCCTGTAGGGACAGGCCAAGGGGAATGGCTTGAACCTGCCCGAGGGGAGACTGAGCTGAGCTCTTAAACAGTGACACTGCAGTGCTCCCCTCAGGGAGCATCAAACACTGCTGAGGCTGGGCTGGGTGAGGTGTGGCATAACCAGTTGTGGGTGGCAGTTCTGCAGGGGTTGGGCAGACTGGATTCCACCCTGGAAAGTAGCACATCTCTCCTTAAATGAACACCGCTGCTGTAAGTGCCGGAGCAGTGATTGCTGTGGTGATGCTCTGGGGCTGGAGGCAGGTCCGAGGGGACAGGCAGCTCCCTAACGTGTTTGTTCCAACCTTTCCCAGGCTCATTCCGCCAGGACCACCAGAGCAGCATGAGTGTCTATGGACAGGATTCCGGAGGCTTCTCAGGCTCGGGAGAGAACCGGAATCTGAGCGGCCCCGACGGCCGCGGCAGGGGACGAGGGGGATATGAGCGAGGAGGCATGAGCAGAGGTGGGCGGGGAGGAGGACGCGGTGGAATGGGGTAAGAGCAAATCTTTTCTCCTTTTATCTACTTCTGGTTTACCCATAGGCTTTGAAACGGAAAGAAGGGACTGAAAGGTTGACATTCCCAAGAGTATTTCCATGGAGAAACGCCTCTGTAGCATTGAACACCCATGGAAGTATTATCCTTAGGGGGAATAGGAGCAGGATCTGTTTGGTTTTCATCCTGCAGCTGGTTGGGCCCCAGGTTGGTTGGAGGGGTTGGAATTAGGGGAATTGCTAAATCTGGAACTTTCAGCTCCCTTCGTGCTGTGCAGAGGTGAGATCCTCTCTGGGGTTGGACAGTAACCCTGGATCGAACACACACAAACCTCCCTGTGCCTCAGCAGTGGGAATGTCGGCAGCGTGGGCACGGACACGGCGGCAGCCTTGTGCCGGCCACAGCCGTAGCACATGGAGCAGCGTGTGCCTGGGGCAGGTCCAAGCCATGACTCTTGAGTGGCCGCAGCACTCAGAGCTTGGTTGGAGCGTGAAGAAAGACCCCCGAGAACATAAAGAGCTCCCCCTTGGAGCCTTCAGGTGCTCTAAATCAGTTTGGCCATTTCAACTGATGGCAAAACCTGGTTTGGTAACCCCTGTCCGTGGTGGTCTGATAGAGGTGAGGAAGGAGGACAAAGCCCAAAGGCTCCTAAGAGAAGGAAGCTGTAGCTTTGTGTGTGTTCCATCCCTTGGGACCGTCAGGCAGAGCTATGCAGAGTGTCCCTAGGTGCACACCGGGCTGTGCAGTGCTGGCCTCCTCCATAGGCAGCTTTTCCTGGTGCTGTACGGCCTGGTGGCAGCCAGAGTTTGGCCACTGAGAGTGCCACTCTGCATAGCTCTGTCACAGTGAAGTGGCATGAAATCTTTATCGGAGAAATCCAACTCCCAGTGTCTGGAAATGGCAGATCAAAAAAGCCTGGCTTGTGTTGGGACGCATCTGGCTTCAATTGGCTCGAGTGGAACAAGAGTTCCCTGGTTCTGCATAAAGATTTCACCCATGCTGTACTGATCACTAATGGTTGGCAGTAGATGCAGACACTTGAAAGGTCTATCATCACATCCTCAAATTCCTAGCCCCTTCGGAGCTGCTCATGCCAAAGGTTTTGGCCGCTTGGTTCCGTGCCCTAATCCGAGCTTACACTGAGCACGGAGCCATGTCCCACCTCAGTAGACCCTTGCCAAGGGCTCCCCAGCTTTATGGATGTAGGCTTTGTGCTGTCCATAGGCAAGGTGGCCCTTCCTAGGAACACCAAGGGGCGGGTAGGGGAACTCGGCCCTCCTTAGCATGCTGTGGTGATGGATTTCAGTGTCTCCTGCAGGTAAGGAGCTCGATGTTCTTAACGTGCCCTTTTCTTTTTTCATTGACTCAGTTATTTTCTATTTTCATTGGCTGTTAAACATGGAAACTTTTTAACATGCTTTGTCGCATTTATATGCTACAGGTTACAAAGTGAGAGCCTTGTATACACACTTCAATACTTAAAAAGTACCCGTACTCAGTACTCAGCCGGCAGCATAATGAAAAGTGGGACTAGACACGGTGTCCATATGGAGAGGAAAAAAAATATACATAGGATTATTTTTGACCCCAATGTATTCATTGTATAAATGGAATCCTTCTGTAATGTGCTTTGGTAACTGCATCCTTGTTGTTTGGTAATAAAGCCAGAGGAGGTGTACTCTAGAATTGTGTAACGTTAACAAGTGTAAAGCATTGTGTTTAACACGAGAGCCGTGACGTAAATGGTGTGTGCTCGAAGGAGCAGAGCTGCATGCAACACCTTGAATCTCTGTATTGACAACTCTTTTCTTCCCCAGTATTAGAGGTGCAATACTTGCTAGAGAACAGGCAGTGCTCTCCCTCCTCCGCTCCTCCACTTCCAACCAGCCTTTGTGCCTCTCCCAAAGCGAGGGAGAAGCAGCCAAATCCTTCCCAGGTGGCGTTTTCCCAATTACCCAGTGCTTGGAAGCGCTCTTTAAGCTGTCGAGGCTCCAGCCACAGCTTTCCCTTTGCACCGAGACACGGTGTGTGTCCACAAAGCTGCACCCCAGGCCCCCGAGCCCGCGCTGTAATGCTGTTAAGTTCTCCCTTCCACTTGTTAAACTCAGTGCTGTAAAAGGGTGTTCTACCGAGGGGATGAGGCAATGGGAGCTGAACTGTGTTGTAGGCATCGCGTGTGGTTGTCTCCTACCTGTTGAACTGTTAATGTCAGGGCCTGCGCTGCGAGGGGCTGAGGGTGCACCTTTGTGTACACACCGCGGGGAGGGAGCTGCCCAGCCGCCCAACCCCACCATGAGGCCAAAACCTGATCTTCTAAACTCTCTACACCGTGGTTCCTTTTTGAGCTGTGAGTATTGCACCGCTAATACCCCCTCCAAGTAACTCAAAAGGGTTCCGCCAAGCGAGGTGGTGGGCTCAAAGCACACGAGGTTGCCTTATACGTAAAGGAAAAGTGAGCGAGCTGCCCTGAAGAAAGGCATAGTGCCGAGATGAGAGACAGACAGACAGATGCATTGTTTGGAGATGTTTTAGCCAGTGCCCTTCTTCCCCAGTGAGCCGCAGAGGCTCAGAGCGGTCCTGGCTTTGTAAAGGGAAAGGCCTTCATTTCTTCGTTTATCCCCCCAGCAGCGCTGGAGAGCGAGGTGGCTTCAATAAGCCTGGTGGTAAGTTTTTGAGCATTACAATGGATAGTGTTTAATAAAGCAAAAAAAAAAGATAAAAAAGATAAAAATAACAAATTGCAGTCAGTTTGTAGCACAAAGTGTAATTGTTATTCGTTTAAAGTGGTTAAAATGCCCCATGCCACGGGCACTGCCGGCAATAACTGCGCTTTACAGGACACAGGGTAACGTGGAGGAATTGAGCAACCGCTCTGTGTAATGTGGGGAGGCAAAGCATTAATTGCATTTAATAACTGTTATATAAAAGTAACTTTAATGACAACCAATTGGCCTGGTAAAGCAGTAAAACGAGCCAGTGTCCTAGTGGTTAATGGTTGGAGAGCTGCTCAGACCAGAGGGTGCGTTGCTGCTCTGTCTGCAGTGCAGGTCAAGCTGAGTTTAACCAGCGCCATCGCACGGTGGTTTTACGTAGCTAGTGTTGTGTGTGTCGGTTCTGCAGCCCCCAAGGCCTGCACTAACACGGCTTCTTATGATTCTTTCCCCACTGGCAGGACACATGGAAGAAGGCCCGGACCTTGATTTAGGTAAGCACCAACTCGTTGCCCGTTCCCTGCTCTGGATGAGGGTGGCAGCTACAGGAGGGCTCCTTCCAGCCGTTTCATTGAGTCCCACCTTGTCAGGCTGTTGGAAAACCACACTTGTGAGGCACAATAACTTGGGGGTGCTGCTCTGTACCTGGGTCAGCACAAACCCTCTTTGCAGCAGGCTTAGCCCAGAGCTCACCCAGTAGCCTCCCCTTGTGCCGTTCCAGCCCGTTGCCATGCAACTCTTCCCTTCCTGTTGCACAGGCGTGTCTGGAAGTGATGTGTCAGCATGGGGTGGACATCCGGGTGTGGGAGCCCAAAGGATGCGGAGCAATCTCTCATCCTCATCTCCATGTCTCCCATTAGCACCAAGTGGCTTAACCCTATGGTTAAAATCTCACTTGCCTTCCTGCATGGAGATGGTGGGGTAGGGTCACTGCTCACAGTGCCTGGGCGTCTGTGCCTCCTCATGAGCACACTCCTTGGGAGCGAAGCTGCAGCTCCATGATGAAAATCACTTTGGGGTGTTGTATCCCACCCTGACACCCTGCATTCCCTCCTAGGCCCCCCCATGGATCCAGATGAGGACTCGGACAACAGTTCTGTGTATGTGCAGGGACTCAATGATAACGTGACCCTGGAGGATCTGACAGACTTCTTCAAGCAGTGTGGAATTGTCAAGGTGGGGGACACACACACATGGGAAGGTTGGCTCCTGGCTGGTGGGGGACAGGGATCACCCATCCTGGAGCACGGAGCTCATCTCCCTTCAGCCCTTCGCTCCCAGGAGCTGGTGGGGCAGCACAATGACCCCAGCTCGTGCTTCCCAAAGAGCCTGATTTGTCCCTTGAGCTTGATGAGGCCATGGAGGAAGCATGGATCTGCTGCTGGTGGGACATGAGAGGGCTCAGGGTGCTGGGGGTCGAGGAGGAGGATGCAGGGAGGCTGCAGCTTGGCTTTTGCACAGTCAGGGTGCACCTGGGAGGAGCCCACCTTTGGGCTGGGCAGTAATGTCCTGGGCCAGTTCCTCCCTTGGTTGGCTTGGCTGGGCAGCAGTTCTGCTCCTGCTAAGCCAAAGGGGCCTTTCTTGTGCCATGGAGCCACCAAGGTGAGGGTTGTTTGAGTTGAAAGCAGAACAGAGGAGAGCAAATCCTTGCTTGGCTTAGTGGTGAGAGGTGGCTTGAGGGGACGTCTGTGTCCTGCTCTAGATGAACAAGAGGACCGGGCAGCCCATGATACACCTCTACATGGACAAGGAAACTGGCAAACCAAAAGGAGATGCCACCATATCTTATGATGACCCATCCACTGCCAAGACAGCCGTGGAGTGGTTTGATGGTGAGTGTGTGCGGGGGGTGTTTTGGGGTGGAATCACTTTGTTTGCCATTACGGAGCTAAATCCTTGTCCACCCAAAGGCAGCTTAAAATCACAGAACCAACCAGGCTGGAAAAGCCCTTTAAGCTCACCCAGTCCAACCCTTCCCAGCCCTGCCAAGGCCACCACTGCCCCATGGCACTGAGGGCATCATCTCCCCGGGGTGTGAACACTTGCAGGGCCGGTGCCTGCAGCCCTGCCTTGGGCAGCCTGTTCCAATGCCTGAGCACCCTCTGGGGCAGGAATTGCTCCTCAGCTCCATCTAAACCTGCCCTGGTGCAGCTGGAGGCCGGTTCCTCAAGCATTTGTGTCCTCGGGGTGTGGAGGATCAGCAGCCACCCAAGGCCAGCTTTAGGTGGTCAAGCTTCAGCCTAAGAAGCTCCTGGGTGTAACTGGGCAGGGGAGCGTGGTGCTTGGGTGGTGCTGGCCCCTCCTCCTGCACCAGTTAACGCCGAGGCCAGCAGCAGTGATGCTCTTGCCCTCATCTTCCTCCTCCCAGGGAAGGATTTCCAGGGCAGCAAGCTCAAAGTGACGCTGGCACGGAAGAAGGGCCCGATGAACAGCATGCGGGGTGGGATGCCGCCCCGGGAGCAGCGCGGAATGCCGCCCCCCCTGCGCGGAGGTAACGTCCCCAGAGCACCCTGCCTGGGCGAGCAGCACCCATGGGTGCTCCCTGCCCCTCCAGCCAGAGCCATGGCACCAATGAACCATCCCTGCAGGTCCAGGGGGGCCGAGCGGCCCCATGGGGCGCATGGGAGGCCGAGGTGGAGACCGGGGCGGCTTCTCCTCCAGAGGACCGCGGGGATCTAGGGGGAACCCCTCCGGAGGGAGCGTCCAGCACCGAGCTGGTGACTGGCAATGTCCCAACCCGTGAGTATCCCTTGGGGCTTCTGAGCATCCCTGATCCCAGAATGATCCCGGAGCTCCGTGCTGACTGCTGCTTGTCCCCAGGGGCTGCGGGAACCAGAACTTCGCCTGGCGAACAGAGTGCAACCAGTGCAAGGCTCCCAAGCCTGAGGGCTTCCTGCCACCGCCATTCCCACCTCCAGGTGCGTGTGTGGGGTGGACAGAGCCCTGATCCTGGGTTGTGCTCCTCCGGGAGCTGCTGTGGCTCCATCCCTTGGGAGCTGTGAAAGGGAGGCTGGGGCTCCTCTGCTTTCTGTTCCTCACTCACTTCCAGTATGTCCTCTGCTGCCAGTGCTCCCCCTTGGGGCTTGTTCTTGGGTCTGGTTTTTGGGGTTCCTCCTCAAGGCTCTTGGGGCTCTTATTTTGGGTTGCTCCTTGGGTCTCCTCTTTGGGGTTCCTCCATGAGGTTCTTCCTTGGGGCTCCTGGCCCTGGTTTCAGCACTTCAGAGCATCACTCACCCCTTGTTGGGCACTGCCCTCCAACGCTCCCCTTTGACACCCCCCAGCATTCCCAGCAGCTCCAGTGCCGGAGCAGCGCCCGGTGCGGGGCAGCTTCTCCCCTCTGAGGCTCTCCCCTCCCGCAGGCGGTGACCGCGGCCGGGGCGGCCCCGGGGGGATGCGCGGCGGGCGCGGCGGTGGCCTCATGGAGCGCGGCGGCCCCGGGGCCATGTTCCGAGGGGGCCGTGGCGGCGACCGAGGCGGCTTCCGCGGTGGCCGGGGCATGGACAGAGGAGGCTACGGGGGAGGCGGCCGCCGAGGAGGAGGAGGAGGAGGAGGAGGAGGACCCGGGGGGCCCCCCGGACCCCTGATGGAGCCCATGGGAGGTGGCGGCCGCGGCGGGCGGCGCGGAGGACCAGGGAAGATGGACAAGTGCGTATGGGGAGGGATGGGGATGCTGGGGGCACTGGGGGGGGGGGGACGGGGCCACAACAGGGCCCTGTTGGGTTTGGGTGCTCAGGGGGTGTTCAGTGGGTGTTCAATGGGTGCTCAGTGGGTACTCAGTGGGTGTTCAGTGGGTGCTCAGTGGGTGCTCAGGGGATGTTCAGTGGGTGTTCAGTGGGTGTTCAGTGGGTGCTCAGTGGGTGTTCAGTGGGTATTCAGTAGGTGTTCAATGGGTGCTCAGTGGGTAATCAATGGGTGTTCAGTGGGTGCTCAGTGGGTGTTCAATGGGTGTTCAGGGGGTGTTCAGTAGGTGCTCAGTGGGTGCTCAGGGGATATTCAGTGGGTGTTCAGTGGGTGCTCAGTGGGTATTCAGTAGGTGCTCAGTGGGTGCTTGCGATGTTCAGTGGGTGCCCAGTGGGTGCTCTGTAGGTGTTCAGTGGGTGTTCAGTGGGTGCTCTGTAGGTGTTCTATGGGTGTTCAGCAGGTATTCAGTGGGTGCTCAGTGGGTGCTCAGGGGATGTTCAGTGGGTGCTCAGTGGGTATTCAGTGGGTGTTGGGTATTCAATGGGTGTTCAGTAAGTGTTCAATAGGTGTTCAATGGGTGTTCAGTGGGTCTTGGATATTCAATGGAGCTCCTGAGGACACCAGCACTGATCCACCCATTCCGTGTATCCCCATACAGGGGCGAACACCGCCAGGAGCGCCGAGACCGACCCTACTAGGACCCCCCCCCGTTCCTCCCCAATCCCCCCCACCCCGGAGCTGCGTTTCCTACCAGATTTATTTTTTAAAGCAGAAACGAATCGGAAACCAGGAGAAGTTTTAACTTTCTAATGCCCTATTTATAACATAGCGCGAGAGAGACACAGACGCCTCCCGTACCCCCCAGTTCCAACGGGCGCGCGACCAGTTCTTGTGGCGGTTGGTTCCTTCCTTCTTCCTTTTCCCCCCTCCCCGTTATTCCCGTTATTCCCGTTATTCCCGGATCCCGGTTGGCGCCGCTGTTCCCGGTTGTGACGGTTGGTTTTTTTTATGCCGATCCAATAAACCCCCGCTGTTTGTATCCGCATCACCGCTCGCTTCCCATCCGCGCTGCCCCGCACGCACCCGGTGCGGGAGGAAGGGGGGGGGGGGGGGGAGCCAAGATCCGTCCCTCCCGGCCCCCCCCCTCCTTTCCCTTCTCCGTGTCCCGCCTCCAACTTCCCGGCCGGGGCGGGGCGGGGCGGGCGCTCCCCGCATGGCGGCCGCGGGGCCCCCCCCGAGCGGAGCGGCCGGGAGGAGCGGCCCCGAGCGGCGGTAGCGGAGCGCGGAGCGGGGGTGAGTGCGGGAATGGGGGGGGACAAGGGGGGGACCGGTCCCTGGTCCGTATCTGTGGGGGGGCCCCCCCCGCTCCATGTCGGCATCGGCTGCGCAGGTGCTGAACCAACACCCCCCCACCCGGAACACACCAGCAGAGGGGACCCCCCCGCAAAGGGAAGGGGGACCCCGGGTGTAGACCCCCCCATAAAGGGAAGTGGGACCTTGATAGAGACAAACACCCCCCCCCAAGCAGGGCCCCCCCGCGGTATGGGGCTTGAGTAGGAACCCACACACACACAGGGACACAGACACCCGCAGCACAGGGGACCCCCCCCGCAAAGGGAAGGGGGACCACGGGTACTGGCACCCCCAAAGGAAGGGCCCCCCCCACGGTGTGGGGCTGGAGTAGTGTGCACACAGAGCAATGGGGGGGGTATGATTCACCAGCTCTTGTATTTCTTCTCCCCATTTGAGGGGAGCCATGGGGGTACCCCCAAGTGCACCCCTAATGGGGGGGTCTCTGTGACCCCAGCAAGGCCCCCACCCCAGGGTGGTGACTCACACCATGACTGGGCAGCTGACTCATTCAGTATGGGTGAGGGGAAACTGAGGCACGGGGGGGGACACACACACCCCAAGGCAAGGTAAATCCCCCCCCCATCCATAGGCAGCCATGGCTGACCCCAGCCACATCCAGTCGGCCGCTTCCAAGAGCATCCGTCCCTTCCGCTCGAGCGAGGAGTACCTGGAGGCCATGAAGGAGGACCTGGCCGAGTGGTTCAACACCCTCTACGACCTGGACATCCATGCAGACACCTTCCTGGAGAGCCTGGAGACGGGCGCTCACCTCTGCCGCCACGCCAACAACGTCACCCGCAGCGCCCGCGCCTTCCAGCGCCGCCACCCGGACCCGGGTACCCGCGTCCCCCGCAACGAGGTGCTCTTCCAGGCCAAGAACGTGGCGCCGGGCTCCTTCGTGGCCAGGGATAACGTCTCCAACTTCATCCGGTGGTGCCGGCAGGAGCTGGGCATCCAGGACGTGCTCATGTTCGAGACCAACGACCTGGTGCTGAAGAAGAACGAGAAGAACTTTGTGCTCTGCCTGCTGGAGGTGGCGAGGCGCGGAGCCAGGTTCGGTATGCTGGCCCCCATGCTCATCCAGATGGAGGAGGAGATCGAGGAGGAGATGAGGGACCCAACGGGGACCCGGCGCCAGGAGGGCCGGGACACACAAGCACCCTCGTACCCCGGAAGGGCCCGACCCATCTCTCTCTGTGACCTGAAGAACCTGGATGAGCTGGTGAGACCCAGTGCGGGGCCAGGGCTTCACCCAATGGGCGCTGTGGGCCTCTCTGTACACTCAGTGGGGTGCTCTATGGTCCCAGGGAGGTCCTTATGACCCATAGGAGGTCCTCTCCATCCACTCAATGGGTTCTCCATGGTCCAGGGGAGGTCCCTATGGCCCGTAGGAGGTCCTCTCCATCCACCCAATGGGGTGCTCTATGCTCTGATGCCTATGGAAGGTCCTCTCCATCCACCCAATGGGGTGCTTTATGCTCTGAGGTCCATGGGAGGTCCTCTCTATCCACCCAATGGGGTGCTCTATGGCTCTGATGCCCATGGAAGGTCCTCTCCATCCACCCAATGGGGTGCTCTATGCTCTGAGGCCCATGGGAGGTCCTCTCTATCCACCCAATGGGGTGCTCTATGGCTCTGATGCCCATGGGAGGTCCTCTCTATCCACCCAATGGGGTGCTCTATGCTCTGAGGTCCATGGGAGGTCCTCTCTATCCACCCAATGGGGTGCTCTATGGCTCTGATGCCCATGGGAGGTCCTCTCCATCCACCCAATGGGGTGCTCTATGGCTCTGATGCCCATGGTATTTCCTCTCCATCCACCCAGTGGGTTCTCTATGGTCCAGGGGCAGTCCCTATGGCCCATGGGAGGTCCTCTCCATCCACCCAATGGGGTGCTCTATGGCTCTGATGCCCATGGGAGGTCCTCTCCATCCACCCAATGGGGTGCTCTATGGTCCAGGGGAGGTCCCACCCATCCCTATTGCCTGTAGGAGTTCCTCTCCATCCACCCAATGGGGCTCTATGGTCCAGGGGAGGTGCCTATGGCCCATGGGAGGTTCTCTCTACCCACCCAATGGGTGCTCTATGGTTCAGGGGAGGTCCCTATGACCCATAGGAGGTCCTCCCTATCCACCCAATGGGGCTCTTGGTGGCCAGTGGGAGGTCCTCAGTGGCCTCCTGACGTCAGGATGGGTTATGTCGGGGGTGGCCATGGCCATAATGACTGGGGGGGGGGGGGGAAGGACGGGACCCCAGTGTCACCCCTTGTCCCTGCACCCCCTCCTCCCCATGGCAATGGGGGGCACAGGACCTGCCCCCCCCTGCCAGCACCATGGGGACAGACAACAGCCATGACAAGGGGGTGCCCCCCCCCGCAGCCCGGCTCAGCGGGGATTAGAGCTGGGCTGGGAGCAGGAGCCGGATTAACACAGGGACACGGGGGGGGGGGAATTCTCCCCTCCCCTGACCCCTAAGCTCAAAGCCCCCCCAATGAGACCCCCATTCCCCATTGAGGATGCTGAGGAAGGGGATGGGGGGGGCACATCCTGCCCCAAATCAGGCCCCCCCATCCCAGCATCGCATTTTTCCGGGCTGCGTAATTCCTCTCCATGGACTTTTATGGGCAGCGCTGGAGCCGGGGAGGAGCCTGTGGGGCCGCATCCGGACCCATAGACCCGTGTGTGTGTCCTAGGGGGGCAGCAGGGTCAGGACCCACACCTTGCACCCCCAAGGCCCCCCCCAACACAGCCCTAAGGCCAGGGCAGGATGCGGCCGTGTCCCTGCATCCCCTTTGGATCCCAGCCTGATCCCTGACGTCAGCGCGGGCAGGAGGCACAGAGCAGGCAGGGAGCTATGGGGGCACCTCCGCTATGGGGTTATGGGGGTCCCTCTGCTATGGGCAGCCCCCCGAACCCTCCCCTTGGCTTGTTACGTTGAGGGGGGTTGGGATTTAATCCCTTTCTATGGGTGCTCATGGGATGCTGGGGGTCCCTGCCCCATAGTGGGGTGCTCAACCCCCCCATGGGTCAGGGAACAGCGGGGCTGGGGAGGGATGATCCCAGCTTTGGGGTGCTCTGTGCTCCCCACAGCAGGGTCCCGGCACAAGTGGGCTCCCATAGGAGTGAGTTGTGCCCGTTCTCAGCCTGCTAAGGGGTGGGTGTCCATAGGACCCCCCCCAGGTCCATCTCCCATGGGAGCTCCGCTGTCCCCTCTGGGTGCACCCATCATAGGGGCTGCCCCATAGCAGGGTCTGGCCCCACTGATCCCTCGCTCCCGCTGCAGGTGCGGGAGATCCTGGGGTGCTGCTCCTGCCCCTCCCAGTTCCCCATGGTCAAGGTCTCGGAGGGGAAATACAAAGTGGGGGACTCCAACACCCTCATCTTCGTGCGGGTAAGAGCCAGCACCCACCATGACCCCATTGCATCCCATTGCTCCCCCATTGCACCCCCATTGCGTCCCCATTGCATCCCCATTGCATCCCCAGCCTGCTGCCCCACACAGGGCACTGGGGGTGTCTGTGCCCCCCCTGACGCAGGTGTCCTGGGGGGCTGCAGGTGCTCCGGAGCCACGTGATGGTGCGTGTGGGGGGCGGATGGGACACCCTGGAGCATTACCTGGACAAGCATGACCCGTGCCGCTGCGCCTCGCTTGGTGAGTGCCCAAGCATCCCATAATAGTGGCATCCCATAAAAGGGACACCCCATAATCGTGATACCCCATAACAGTGACACCCCATGACAGTGACATCCCATAATAGTGGCATCCCATAACAGTGACACCCCATAATACTGACATCCCATAACAGTGACACCCCATAACAGTGGCATCCCATAACCGTGGCACCCCATAACAGTAACATCTCATAATACTGACATCCCCCAATAGTGACACCCCATAATAGTGACACCCCGTAATATTGACACCCCGTAACAATGACATCCCATAATAGTGACACCCCAGAACAGTGACACCCAGTAATAGTGAAATCCCATAAAAGTGACACCCCCTAATAGTGACACCCCATTATAGTGACATCCCATAATAGAGACACCCCATAACAGTAAAACTCCATAACAATGACACCCCATAACAATGACACCCCATAATAGTGACATCCCATAATAGTGACACCCCATAACCATGGCACCCCATAACAGTAACATCCCATAATACTGACATCCCCTAATAGTGACACCCCTAGCAATGACACCCCATAACAGTGACATCCCATAAAAGTGACGCCTCATAATACTGACACCCCATAACGACACCCTGTAACAGTGACATCCCATAATAGTGGCACCCCATCACAGTGCCCCATCCCAGTGCCACCGCTCTCCCTTCCCTGGTCCATCTGGAATGGGGGAGAGGGGGATGAGGACAGGCCGAGGCGATGACCCCATCCTGGGGACCCCTGGGTGGGATGGGGCTGTGGGTGCGATGCCTGCCATGGTGTGGGTGCGATGGGTGCCGATGGGTGCAGTGGGTGCCGATGGGTGTAATGGGTGCCAGCGGGTGCAATGCATGCAGTGAGTGACACCATGGGTGCCAATGGGTGAAATGGGTGCCAATGAGTGCAATGCATGCAATGGGTGCCAGTTGGGTGTAATGGGTGCCAATGGGTGCAATGCATGCAGTGGGTGCCAGTTGGGTGTAATAGGTGCCAATGGGTGCAATGCATGCAGTGAGTGCCAGTTGGGTGTAATGGGTGCCAATGGGTGCAATGCATGCAGTGAGTGCCAATTGGGTATAATGGGTGCCAATGGGTGCAGTGCATGCAATGGGTGCCAGTTGGGTGTAATAGGTGCCAATGGGTGCAATGCATGCAGTGGGTGCCAGTTGGGTGTAATAGGTGCCAATGGGTGCAATGCATGCAGTGGGTGCCAGTTGGGTGTAATGGGTGCCAATGGGTGCAATGCATGCAGTGGGTGCCAATTGGGTGTAATAGGTGCCAATGGGTGCAATGCATGCAGTGGGTGCCAGTTGGGTGTAATGGGTGCAATGCATGCAGTGGGTGCCAGTGGGTGTAATAGGTGCCAATGGGTGCAATGCATGCAGTGAGTGGCAGTGAATGTAATGGGTGCAGTGCATGCAGTGGGTGCCAATGGGTGTAATAGGTGCCAGTGGGTGCAGTAGGTGCCAGTGGTGCGATGGGTGCCCATGGGCCCTGACCCATCCCCTCTGTTCACAGCCCACCGCCAGCCCCGAGCCCCCCCCGCCTGCCCCAGCCCCGGATCCCCCCGGCGCCCCCCTGGCAGAGCCGTGGGGCTCACGGGCACCCCCAGGCCCGGCTCCAGGCAGGAGGGGGGGTCCCCACGGGGGGCTCCGGCCCCACAGCCCGGCCCCGGCAGCCCCAGCAGGAGCCCCGCACGCACCGCGCTCAGGTACAGCACCCATGGGTGCTGCGGGCATGGGGAGCACCCCCTGCTGCCCCACAGCACACAGCAGAGCCGTGGCAGAGCCCAGACACATGGGGGTGTAATGGGGGCAATGGGGGGGTGTGATGGGGTTGTAATGGGGGGGGAGTCATGGGGGCTTGTAATGGGAGGCAATGGGGAAGTGTAATGGGAGGCAGTAAGGGGGTGTAATGGGAGGCAATGGGAGGATGTATTGGGGTTGTAATGGGGTTGTAATGGGAGGCAGTAAGGGGGTGTAATGGGAGGCAGTAAGGGGGTGTAATGGGAGGCAATGGGAGGATGTATTGGGGTTGTAATGGGGGGCAATGGGAGAATGTAATGGGCTTGTAATGGGAGGCAGTAAGGGGGTGTAATGGGAGGCAATGGGAGGATGTATTGGGGTTGTAATGGGCTTGTAATGGGATTGTATTTGGCTTTTAATGGGCTTGTAAGGGGGTGCAATGGGAGAATGTAATGGGGTTGTAATGGGAGGCAATGGGAGGATGTAATGGGCTTGTAATGGGAGGATGTATTGGGGTTGTAATGGGGTTTTAATGGGAGACAATGGGGGAGTATAATGGGAGGCAATGAGGGGGGTGTAATGGGAGGCAATGGGAAGATGTAATGGGGTTGTAATGGGAGGCAATGGGAAGATGTAATGGGGTTTTAATGGGAGGCAATGGGGGAGTATAATGGGAGGCTATGAGGGGGGTGTAATGGGAGTCAATGGGAAGATGTAATGGGGTTATAATGTGGGGCAATGGGAGGACGTAATGGGGTTTTAATGGGAGGCAATGGGGGAGTATAATGGGAGGCTATGAGGGGGGTGTAATGGGAGGCAATGGGAAGATGTAATGGGGTTATAATGTGGGGCAATGGGAGGATGTAATGGGGTTGTAATGGGGTGCAATGGGAGAATGTAATGGGGTTGTAATGGGAGGATGTATTGGGGTTGTAATGGGGTTTTAATGGGAGACAATGGGGGAGTATAATGGGAGGCAATGAGGGGGGTGTAATGGGAGGCAATGGGAAGATGTAATGGGGTTGTAATGGGAGGCAATGGGAAGATGTAATGGGGTTTTAATGGGAGGCAATGGGGGAGTATAATGGGAGGCTATGAGGGGGGTGTAATGGGAGGCAATGGGAAGATGTAATGGGGTTATAATGTGGGGCAATGGGAGGATGTAATGGGCTTGTAATGGGGTGCAATGGGAGAATGTAATGGGGTTGTAATGGGAGGCAGTGGGGGCTGTAATGGGGTTGTAATGGGAGGATGTATTGGGGTTGTAATGGGGTTTTAATGGGAGGCAGTGAGGGTGGTGTAATGGGAGGCAATGGGAAGGTGTAATGGGCTTGTAATGGGGGGCAATGGGAGGATGTATTGGGGTTGTAATGGGGTGCAGTGGGAGAATGTAATGGGGTCGTAATGGGAGGCAGTGGGAGGTGTAATGGGGTTGTAATGGGAGGATGTAATGGGGTTGTAATGGGGGGCAATGGGAGAAGGTAATGGGATGCAATGGGAGGATGTAATGGGGTTGTAATGGGGTGCAATGGGAGAATGTAATGGGGTTGTAATGGGAGGCAGTGGGGGGTGTAATGGGGTTGTAATGGGAGGATGTAATGGGGTTGTAATGGGAGGCAATGCGGGTGGTAATGGGGTTGTAATGGTAGGATGTAATGGGGTGTAATGGGGAGCAACAGGAGTGAGGAATGAGGGGGACTGGAGGGCAATGGGGTGGTGCAATGGGGCCAATAGGGTGAATGGGGATGGAATGTGGGGGAATGGGAGGACATTGAGGGGGCAATGGAGGGAATTGGGGGTGTGTAATGGGGGCAATGAGAAGTGGGGGATGCATTGGGAGATCAATGTGGGTTGAAATGGGGATGAATGGGGGGAAATGGGGGCAGTGGGGTCTGGAATGGGATTAATGGGGGTAAGAGGGGATGTGTAATGGAGGGGTGTAGTGGGGGCAATGGTGGGAATGGTGCAATGGAGGGGCAAAGGGGGGGCAATGGGGGAAATGAAGAGCAAGGGTGGTGTGCAGTTGGGGTCAGTGGGGGGAGAAATGGGGGGCAAAGGGGGACAAGAAGGAGCCTGGGGGTGTGTAATGGGGAGCAATGGGGAACAATGGGAGTGGGGAATGGGAGAGTGCTCAATACTGGGGTGCAGTGTGGAGGCAATGTTGGGGTGCAATAGGGTGGCAATGTTGGGGGGCAAGGAAGGGCAATAGGGGTCAGTGTTTGTTCAATGTTGGGATCAGTGTGGGTCACTGTTGGGGTGCAATAGGGGTCACTATTGGGATGCAATGGTGGGAGGTCACTACTGGGGTGTAATGGGGAGGTCACTATTGGGGTGCAATGGGGGGGTCACTATTGGGGTGCAATGAGGGTCACTATTGGGTTGCAGTGGGGGTCACTATTGGGGTACAATGGGGAGTTCACTATTGGGATGCAGTGGGGGTCACCTCTGGGGTACAACGGGGATGTCACCATTGGGGTACAACAAGGGGGTCACCATTGGGGTACAATGGGAGTCACTATTGGGAGGCAATGGGAGGTCACCATTGGTGTGCAGTGGGGGGGTCACTATTGGGATGCAATGGGGGGTTACCATGGGGTACAATGGGGGGGGTCACCATTGGGGTACAATGGGGAGGTCACCATTGGGGTACAAAGGGGAGGTCACCATTGGGGTACAATGGGGAGGTCACCATTGGGGTACCATGGGAAGGCCACCACTGGGGTACAATGGGGGGGTCACCATTGGGGTACAATGGGGAGGTCACCATTGGGGTACCATGGGAAGGTCACCATTGGGGTACAAAGGGGAGGTCACCATTGGGGTACAATGGGGAGGTCACCACTGGGGTACAGTGGGGGGGATCACCATTGGGGCACAACGGGGGTCACCACTGGGGTACAAAGGGGGTACCATTGGGCTACAATGGGGGGGTCAGCACTGGGGTCCGACTCCGCTCCAGTGCTCCCTGACCCCATCCCCGCCCCTGTCCCCGCAGGCCCCGCGCCCGCCGCTGCTCCGGCGACAGCGACTCCTCGGCCTCCTCCGTGCCCGGCGCCCCCTGGAGCACCCCGAGATCCCGTGCGGGGCCGCGCTCCCGCAGCCCGGGCCCCCCCCCCCCCCCGCAGCAGCCGCAGCCGCTGCTCCTCGTGAGCCGGGACCCCGCCGGGCAGCACTCGTGGAGCCTGGGCCCGGCGCGGGAGGAGCCGGAGCGGGGCCCCCGCTGGATGGAGCCCGCTCAGGAGCAGCGGCTGCTGCGGGAGCTGGAGCGGGAGCTCCTCGCCAACACCCGCGCCATGGCCCAGCTGGAGGGGCCCGAGCCGCCCCCCGCGCCCCCCGCCGCGGACTCCGCCTATTGCTCCTCCAGCTCCTCCTCCTCCTCCCTCAGCCTCTTCGCCAAGCACGGAGCCACCGCTCCCCCCCGCACCGCCCATGCGGGGCCGCGGCCCCCCCAGGGCAGCTCCTCCGACGAGAGCGGGGACGGCCCCGGCTCCGACACGGACTGGGGAGCGGTGGAGGACGAGGATGAGCCCCCCCCACCGCGGCCCTGCGCCCGGCCCCGCCTGGACACGCAGCCCCATAGGAAGCCGTCGAGGATCCCCACGCCGAGGGGCTGTGGGGCAGCGCCCCCCCGCAGCAGCAGCCCCAAAGCTGGGGGGCACCGGTCATGGGGGGCTCTGCAGAGCGTCCTCTCCTCCTTCCTGGAGCCCGCCTGGGCCCCGCGGGAGCACCAGGGGCTGGAGGAGGACTCGTGGCCATGAGGCAGCGGTGATGGGCACCGAGGGACCGCAGCCACGGTACCGCGGACCTGCGGGGCTTGGCCTTGGATGAGCGCCGGTCCCCGGGGAGCTGCTCCATGGGGGACAAAGGCAGCGGGGTCGGAGCAAGGAGCCTGGGAGCAGGGCTGGAGGGGAAGCGGCTCCAACCCCATCTGCACCTCCTCATCCTCATCCTTTCCCCTTCTCCTTTCCCACCTCCTCATCCGAGGTGACGGGGCCATGCCCCGTGTCACAGCCGCCATTCCCTCTCCAGCCCATCAGGCCTGGGTACAGCTCATCCGATGTCCCTATGGTGGGACAGGGCTGTCCCTGGAGCCCCCCACCCCTGGCCCCGCATGTCCCCCCCCTCCAGCCAGTAAAGACCGATGGAGCCGATCCCAGTGCATCCAGTCTGTCCTGGGCTCGGATGTGATAAGGAGGGGATGAGATTCCCAGCCCAAGGAGCTGGGGGTCCTCCATTGGGAGCAATGGGTCAGGGCGCACCCCCCTGCAGCCATGGGGACCCCTCCATGTCCCCACAGCACCCCCATGGTGGGGGTTGAGACCTGCTGGTGGTGACCATCCCACAGCCACAGCCCTGCACCGCCCCATGGGGTGCCATAGCCCAGAGCCCCTGTGCTGGGGGGGTGCTGGTGCCCATCTCCACAGCCAGGGCTCACCCCATGGGGTCCCCCCGAACCCCAGCAGCAGCCATCCCCTTCATGGACCACTCACCATGAGCAGAGCATAGAGTTCTAGTGTATATATTAGATATCTCCTGCACCCAGTGCTCCCAGGGAGGGGTGACCCATGGCTTGAGGGAGCAGCACATCCTCACCAGCACCCATGGGTGACAGTGGGGCTGCTCGGAGGGGGCAGAGGGAGGGGTGTGATTGATGCTTAGAGCCCTCCCAGGCCCACAGAGGGGCTGGAAAAGCCCTTTTAGTGCTGCACATGGAAGCGCAGGCTCAGGTTTGAGAGCCTGGAGCCCTTCTGGGATCTGTGGAGCAGCTCCCATGAGAAGCAGACCCTGTCCCATGGGTGCTGAACCCTCCCCCAGAGCCCCCCATGGGCGCAGGGTGAAGCAGAGCAGCAGCCCCCAGAGGGCTCATAGAGGGGACAACATCAAGGAGGATGCAGCATCACTCACACAGGGATGCAGGGATGCTCCTGCCCTCCTCTGCTCACCCCAGCCCCGATGGAGATGGAGGGAGGGTCCCAAGGGCTGGCTCCTCGGCAGGAAGGAGAGGAGAGGTGAGACATGCACATGGGTCCTGCCCCACATCCTGGGGTGGGAGCGGGAGGAGAGGAGGGCGAGGGGCCGCAGCAGCACCTCAGTTCTTGAGGATGGTCTCATAGGCTTGGTAGATGTACTGGGACACCTCCGGCGCGCGGCATTTCAGGGATAACTGCGGGAAGAGAGGCAGGGATGGGGGTCACGGCCCCACAGCATCCCCCATGGGCACAGCACGGCCCCAGCTCCGCATCACAGCGGGGTCAGAGTGGTACCAAAAGGCATGGAGCATCCAAACCCCCTCCCCGGTGCTGGGGCAGCGCATGCAGGGGGCAGGCAGAGGCACACGGGGAGGCTTCAATCCCTGCCTGCAGCAGTGATTTGCTTTGGGATTAAGTGACTGAACCCAAAGAGCTCCTCCTCAGCCCACAGGGAAAGGGGTGCAGAGGCAGGGGGGGATCCGCTGGGATAAGGATGCGCAGCTCCGCTCATCCCTAGGGATGCATGGGAGCATCCTGCCCCTCCGCTTCACCTGCTGAGGCCAAAGAGGCACCGAAGGGATGGGGAATGCAGGGACAGGGAAGCGGGAGCAGGCAGGGACAGCCCCAAGCAGGTACAAACCAGTGTCCTGACCTCCAGATCCTGCGGGAGCGCACGGGAAGCAGGGGACAGAGATGCAGAGGTGTGAGTGGAGGGGACCCTGCTCATCCCAACCCCAGGAAAACCGGCCCCGAGGGACAGGGATGGGCCCCAGCAGCAGGACAATGGGGATGGGTCCAAATCACAGCCAGGCCTTGGCTCTGAGGCTGCCAGCTGGGGGTGCCCAGGGGTTGATGTCAATGGAGGTGTGGGGATGGGACCTCTTGGTCTCCTTTCGGTGCCATCACGGGCCCCATCCCACCCTCCCCACAGGCCACTGGGACCAGCACAAGGGATGGAGGTGGTCCCAGCACCACGGATGCGCCATTGGAGCACCGAGCCCAAGGCAGCAGCAGCCTCAGCCAGGGGGCTGATGGGGAGGCAGAAAGGGAAGGGAAGGGGAGGTACCGTGAAGCTGGGGTTACTGGGCTGGATCCGGAGCTCCGCCAGCACCCAGATGCCATTGGTGAGCTTCAGGGACTGGTAGAGCATGTCCTGCCCCTCCACGTTCCTCTTGGCGATGGTGAAGATGTTGCTGCCTTGGAGCTTGCTGCTAATGGCATCTGTATGGGGAGGGAGCTGCTGTGGGGCAGGGCATGGGGCTCCCCACAGCTCTGTCCATAGCTCCCCCTGGCTGGGATGCAGCACATCCAGCACCCTCCATCCCCCTGCAGCGAGGAGCAGCACCCAGGCCCTCCCCACAGTGACAGCCCAGAACCATGGAACCACCCCACAAAGCTCAGCTCCCTGCTGCCAGAGGGATGGAAAGGACTTGGATGGCCCCGACCAGGGTCTGCTCCTCCTGCTTGGCACCTGGAGAAGGGGCTGGGAGAGCAAGGAGGTGCCCAAGGAGCCCTGGGGATGGGATGCTCAGAGGCTGACCCACAGCAGCGGTCCCCATGCAGGGACCCCAGAGCATCTCCTAGGTCTCCATGATGAGCGGAAGCAAAGCAGCTCCCTCCTGGAACACACGGGGATGGGGCTCCCACCTCCCCGGGCTGGGGGCACTGGGAGGAGCTGCTCCCCAGCAGCCAGGGCCTTGGGGAGGGGTTGGACCCACCTGCATTGAGGGAGCAGTCTTTGATCTGGAACTGGGCCTCGTTCTCATTGGGAATGTCCTTCCATGTGGCCAGGAACATCTGCCGCTCTGCAGGGAGGGATGGGACAGCGCTGCTGAGCCCACAGCATCCCCATGGCATGGAGCAGGGACACGGAGCAGGGATGCTGCCACATCGATCCCATCCTGCAATCCCCTCCAGCAGCTTCCCAAGGCAGCCCCACAGGTCAGCCTGTTCCAATGCCTGAGCACCCTCTGGGGCAGGAATTGTTCCTCAGCTCCATCTAAACCTGCCCTGGTGCAGCTTGAGGCCGGTTCCTCTTGTCCCATCCCTTGTTCCTTGGGAGCAGAGCCCAGCCCCTCCTGGCTCCATCCTCCTGTCAGGCAGTTGGAGGCAGCCATCAGGTCCCCCCTGAGCCTTCTCTTCTCCAGACTGAACCCCCCAGGTCCCTCAGCCCTTCCCCATCACACTTGGGCTCCAGGCCCTGCACCAGCCCCAGTGCCCTTCTCTGGCCCCACTCCAGCCCCTCAGTGTCTCTCTTGGAGTGAGGGGCCCAGAGCTGAGCACAGGATTCGAGGTGCAGCCTCACCAGTGCCCAGCACAGGGGCACAATCCCTGCCCTGGCCCTGCTGCCGCACTGGTGCTGATCCAGCCCAGGATGCTGGGGGCTTCTTGGCTGCCTGGGCACAAGCTGCTCATGTTCAGCTCCATCAATCAGCATCCCCAGCTCCTTTCCCAGGAGCAGTTTCCAGGTGCTGTTCCTCAAGCCTGGAGCACTGCATGGGGTTGTTGTGGCCCAAGTGCGGGACCAGCACTGAGCCTTTTGAACCTCATCCCATGGATCCTGTCCAGATCCCTCTGCAGAGCCTCCTGCCCTCCACAGATGAACCTGGTGCCACTGGGGACACCCCCATCCCCTCATCCGGGTCACCAGTGAGGACATCCAACCCTGGCCCCAGTACCAAGCCCTGAGGGGCACCACCAGTACCCAGTGCCCATCTGGATGAGCCAAGCAAAGCCAGAGCTGCCCCTGCCCATGAGGAGTCAGAGGGTGCCTCAAAGCACCTCGGGTACCACAGCGTGGCCAATGCAGGCCTGGCAGCACCCCTGCCTGCTCCAGGCCTCCGGCAGCATTCCCAGGGCTGGGAATGTGGTCAGGGCTGGGATGGCACCTGCAGACCCAGCTCAACTCACCCATCTTCCCGTCCTCCACGAAGAGGATGTGCAGCGGGTACAGGGTGCTGAAGTAGAACACATCGATGTTGTTTTTCACCGCGACCTGGGATGGAAGGACATGGGGACATCAACGCCTCCTCCAGCCTGGAGAGCATCCCATCCCGTCCCATCAATCCCATCCCATCATCCCACCCCAACCCATCCCATCATCCCACCCCATCCCATCATCCCATCATCCCACCCCATCATCCCACCCCAACCCATCCCATCATCCCATCCCATCATCCCATCCCATCCCATCATCCCATCCCACCCCATTCCATCATCCCACTCCATCCCATCATCCCACCCCATCCCATCATCCCATCATCCCACTCCATCCCATCATCCCATCCCATCATCCCACCCCAACCCATCCCATCATCCCACCCCATCCCATCATCTCATCCCATCCCACCCCATTCCCTCATCCCACCCCATCCCATCATCCCATCCTATTCCATCATCCCATCCTATTCCATCATCCCATCCTATTCCATCATCCCATCCTGTTCCATCATCCCATCCTATTCCATCATCCCATCCTATTCCATCATCCCATCCTATTCCATCATCCCATCCCATCATCCCATCCCATTCCATCATCCCACTATCCCACTCCATCCCATCATGCCATCCCATTCCATCATCCCACTCCATCCCATCATCCCATTTTATTCCATCATCCCACCCCATCCCATCATCCCATCCCATCATCCCACTCCATCCCATCATCCCATCCCATCATCCCATCCCATTCCATCATCCCACCATCCCACTCCATCCCATCATGCCATCCCATTCCATCATCCCACCCCATCCCATCATCCCACCCCATCCCATCATCCCACCCCATC